GATGCTGCTTGGCCTGCTGTGTTCATCCAGCCCTGCACCTTGTTGTCTCGGATTCTCCAGCATATGCAGTTCCTACTATCTCTGGTTGTTTCCTTGTTGCTGTTTTCAAAATGCAGAGACATACTATTACTTGCTGCTTTTTTTTTGGTTGCACTTGATCAATCTTAATAATTCCATTTCATGCACCGTTCCTTTTGAAAATTGACCTTCCTTCAGCTTCAACCTGTAGTTCACTAAAGGGAACTGCAGGATGTATAAGATGTGTGTAAGTCATTTATTTGCTTTCATTTTAACATTAGTTAAGAAAAACTTAGTGTTTCTGCACTTCACCTATCAAATTTAGTTCTGAACATAAACTCCTCAAGTCTAATATCATCATTAGGTAGGCATTAGTATGTATGTAAATTTTGGTTTCTGTATTACAGGGAGACAATGACAGTGTTGGCATATCCCATTCAATGTTGCCGGCAGAAGGAGAGGATGCCATGTCGATATTTAATTCTGGAACAAAACCAGGTATAATTTAAATGTATATTCATTGTACATAATTGTATACCGGTCATGGGTATTAACTGGAATCTTTCTGAATTCTTATAAATGAGAACGGATAAACTAGTGGCTAGATTAAGTGATGCGTGTTTGTAATGTGTATTTCTCCAATAAAATTATGCACAGATTGTTTCCACTTCTATCCTTAATCACCTGGATTTCTGGAATGGAACATAGTTGGTAGGTGCCTTGTTCTCTGCCCCAATAAATCATCATCTCGATGAGCAAAAAAAAGAGAACTTGTGGAAGTGTATGTATTTTGTGTATGTCTGTTTCATTTGATTGAAGCATTCTTTTAATATCATAAATGTATGAAAAATGCTTCAGGCTGCCCATTATCTTAAAAAAAAACTTGTCAGAAACATTTGGTCAGACTTTCTTTCTTCCCTTCTTAGGTGAGCAGTTTTCTTCATAGATGCTGCCTCTGTATTATGCAGCAGCATAGTGCTGAACAAGGTTAATCCTGTTGAGTGTTTGAACATATCGCTTTTGTATTTTCAGAACTAGGAATTTAAAAGTAGTGATAATATTAAAAATTACTGTTAAATGTGTACTTGACATAACAACCGTCTCTTCATCAGAATTTTTTGTGTATATTTTGTTGCACGTAGGCTTGTGTCAAATTTAAAAGTGCTGAGGGGGAATTTGTTTTTCTGTTGCCAGTTTTAGAACATTATACCTTCATTTTTGCAGCCTACCTTCCCCTTATTTTGATATGGTAATGGTACTGTTATTCTGTTATTTTAATTTGAGCAGCCGTTAATTGAATGTTGTCTGATTCTAACTGAAGGAATTTTCTTTTTCAAAATAGTCGTCATGAGAAACTGAGTTTTGGGGGTAAAGACTAATTGCAATAGTTGGGACTCCCCAGGGAGCAGATGGAATGCTGATCTTATGCCTCACTTATTTACTGCTTATTGATTTCTCGAGAGATGTTAGGTTAAAATTTGAGTCCTATCCCCTTTCCATGATTCTGCTTTTGGAGATAATTTAACAGTGTAAACACTTGAACCTCGCCGTAGTGATGATGATCTCCCACTTGTAAATTTAACAAAGGTCAATGAAACAGTCTTCACATCAAAACAATGTTTTGTTTTGGAATGTGATCTCATACCCATTTGGAGAAGAAAATACTGTATCCTGATTTTATTTTAGTTTGGCTGTATAACTGCATACTCATCTTCATGTTTGTAAAATGGATATGCTGGATATTGTTTAAAGGGAGTGACATTGATGATTTTGGACTTTGAGCCATTATTTCTTTTACTATTCATTCATATGATGAAGGCATTGTTGGCTAGGCCAGCATTTATTGCCCAAACCTAATTGTCTGGAGGGCAGTTGAAAGTCAACCACTTTGCTGTGGTCTGGTGTCACATGTAGGCCAGACCAAGTAAGGATGGCAGTTGCCTGAAGGACATTAGTGAGCCATTACCTGGGTCTCTAGATTAACATTCCAGTGATAGTACCACTAGGCCATCACCTCCCCATTAACAGAGCAGCTGTATATTTTTGGGGTTGTAGGAAAGATGATGAAACAGTGGAGCAGACTCTTGAAAATGCAAACATAAAGGTAGGTTTGAAGAACTGGTGAATGTTGTCAAAATGGAGGAGCTTCCTACCTTAACAGCACTTTCAAAGCATGTTGCAATAAACAAAAATAGTTGGGTTTGTTTTTACTAGAGGTATTTTTATAAAAGTCTTGAAATTTATAAAGGTAGCGTCGATAATCACAGACTAAAAATAGTTTTTGAAGGTCTAGAACAATGTCTCCTAACATCCTCAGGATTCCCAAGGTATTTTACATTCTGTGAGGTGGTATAGAAGTATTACGTAATTTAGGTAACGTCTTTCACATGCAAGTCAATTTATGGTACTTTATTGTATTTGGCGCTTATTACAACAAAATTTAAACTAATCTAAAGTATTAAATAGTTACGTAATGTTTTCATAGATTCTCTCTCTTTAAATTATAGATGGACAAAGATCACCCACACACAGTCGGACTGCATCCACGAGTCTTATGAATGAAGTCGATCTGGTTGTTTCATACAAAGATCTTGACAATCTGTTTGATGATGAAGATGAACTTGGGGTAAGTTATTTTACCCAGTTTGAAATGTTTGTTTTCTTGACTTTTTTTTGGTAGAAGGCTTTAAACTAATTTAAGGTGGGGGAACGGTGTGGAAGAAGAGAGGAAATGTAGGTTTTTCAAAGCAAAAGGATACGTTGGCATTGCAGGGCAACTATTTTAGATGATACCCAGAGTGTACAAACATATAGCAGCAAATTAGATCAAAGGGGAGCACTGTGATAAGGTGAAGTTAATGGCTCTGTACTTAAATGCATGTCGTATTTGAAACAGAAACAAATTAATGGCACAAATAGAGGTTAATGAGTAAGGTCTAGTCATTTTGGCAACATGGTTACAAAGAGATTGAAGTTGGGAACTAAATATTCAGGAGTATGTGACTTTTTGAAAGGACAGGAAGGAAGGGATGATGGGTAGTTTTTAGTCCTAGATAGAATAAGTGTGTTGGTAAGAAATAATTCTGTATCGGAAGACTTAGAATACATATGGATGGAGGTAAGAAATAATAAGGGGAAGAATACACTGGTGGGAGTAGTGTTTAGATCCTCTAATAATATGTGGACTGTATGAAAGAGATTACATCAAGAGATAACGAGGGTATGTTAAAAAGATAGTATATTAGTCATGGGTGATGTTAATCTTCATCAGATTGGGAAAATCAAATTGGCAAGGTAGCCAAGAGGAAGAATTCAGTATATTTTGGGACAGTTTCCTTGAACAATATATTGCAGTTCCAATTGGGGTCAGGTTATAAAACAACTACAGATGTTGGAAATCAGAAATAAAAACAGAAATTGCTAGAGAAACACAGCAGGTCTGGCAGCATCTATGGAGAAAAAACACTGTTCATGTTTCAAGTCCAGTTCTGAAGACCGGCCACTGGACTCAAAGTATTAACTCTCTGTTTTGTCTGCATAGATCCTGCCAGACATTGAGTTTCTCCAGCAATATCTGTTTTTATGTTAGGGATCAGGTCATGTTGGACCTTGTAAAGTCTATTAAGGAATGTTTAAATTACCTCAGAGTAAAATATTCCCTGTCTAACAGTGGCCATAATGTGGTAGAATTTAGTATACTGTTTGAGATTGAGAAACTTGGAAAACACTGCTAAATTTAAATAAGAGTATAAAGGAATGAGGCAGAATTGGCTCGGAAGGGAATTTAGCAGAAAAGATGGTCCATGAACAATGGCAGATGTTTTAAGAAAATCGCTTATGACTGGTAACAAATATCTATCCTAGCGAGGATGGAAGAGTCCAAGAAGGGGATAAACCAACTATGGTTAACTCAGGAAGTTGAGGATAGTATTGAGTTGAAAGAAAAAACATACAATGCGGCTAAGATTAGTGGTAAGCCAGAGGATTGGAAAAGCCAACAAAGGATCACCACAAAAGAGAGAGAAAATAAACCGAGAGTAAACTTACAAGTAATATCAAAACGGATGGTCGGAGCTTCTTTAACTATATAAAAAGGAATAGAGAGGCCAAAGTGAACATAGGCCCCATTGAGAATGCGACTCGGGAAATAATAATGGAGAACTAGGAAATGGCAAAGTAGTCAATTAAAAACTTTGCAGCAGTCCTCTTGGCAGAAGATATTATTAGCATTCCAAAAATGCTAAGTAACCAAAGTGGGGGGGGAAGAAGCGGAGACAAAATAAAAGCAATAACTATATCATTAGAGGAAGAAGACGAGGGAAGCTAATGGGGCTAAAGGCAGATAAGTCCGCTGGACTGGTGGCTTGCGTTCTAGGATATTAAAGGAAGAAGGTACAATAATAGGGAATGCGTTGGCAGTAATCTTCCAGGAATCCTTAGATTCTGGAAAAGTTTCAGAGGATTGGAAAACTACCTATGTAACACCCTTGATGAAAAAGGGAGAGAGCCAAAAAAAAAGTAACTATAATTCAGTTCACTTAACATTCTTCATTGGGAAAATGTTAGAGTCTGTTATAAAAGATGTATTTAGCATTTAGAAAAGCAATCTATAATACCCGCAGTTGTTGATGAATCATTACTCCTCCATGTTGAACACTGCTTGGAGGAAGCACTGAGGGTGATCAGAATGTGCATTGCGTGGGGAACACAAAATCTACCAAGAGTGGCTCAGTAATACCACTATTGTCCTTTTTCTTTAATTGACCCATGGAATGTGAGTATCGCTGGCTGGGCCAGTATTTATTGCATATCCCTAGTTGCCCTTGAGAAGGTGGTGGTGAACTGCCTTTTTGAACAGCGGCAGTCCATTTGGTGTAGGCTAGATCCACAAAGTCATTAGGGAGGGAGTTCCAGGAGTTTGGCCCAGCAGCACTGCAGGAATGGCATTATATTTCTAGGCTGGTGAGTGGTTTGGATGGGAACTTGCAAGTGGTGGTGTTCTCATATACCTGCTGCCTTTGTCCTTATAGATCGTTGTGGTTGAGGGTTTGGACTGTGATCTGGGTGAGTCCTAATGAGCATAGTTGCTAGACTGGATCTGTTACAGGTGGTGAAAGGACAAGAGAAAAAACACATGACATCATCCTCCCCATTTTGCCTGCTGCCAATGCGTCTGTCTATGACAGTATTGACCTAGCAACTCAGGACTGGCTATCCAGGAAGTACGCTGGACCATCAGCAGCAATAGAATTGCATCCATGATCTGAAACCTCATGGCTGGTCATAATCCTTAGAGTCATAGTTTTTACAGCATAGAAAGAGGCCCATTGTCTGTGCTGGTCATCAAACATTCACCTATTCTAATCCCATTTTCTAGCACTTTGCCCATAGCCTTGTGTGCTATGACATTTCATGTGTTCATCTGAATAGTTCTTAAATGTCCGGAGGGTTCCTACCTCTATCACTCTTTTAGGTGGTGAGTTCTAGAAATCTACACCCTCTGGGTGATTTTTTTCCCCTCACAGCCCCTCTAAACCTCTTGCTCCTTAACTTAAATCTCTGCCTCTCGGTTATTAACCCCTCTAACTGAGGAGAAACATTTCTCCCTATCGACCCTGTCTGTGCTCCACAGATCTTTGTGCAACTCAAGCTGATTCCTTCCCCCACACCGCTTCTCTGCTCCTTCAGTGACTCCCAGCATTACGGATACCAGTTTTCAGCCAATTTTATTCACTCCACATGATATCAAGAAATGATTGGAGACTGTGGATACTGCAAAGGCTACGGCTCTGACAGCATTCCGGCAATATTACTGAAGGCCTGTATTCCAGAACTTGCAGCTCCCGTAGCCAAGCTCTTCCAGTACAGTTACAACACTGGCATCTACCCAATAATGTGGAAAATTGCCCAAGTATGTTCTGTACATAAAAAGCAGGACAAATCCAGCCCAGCAAATTACTGCCCCATCAGTCTACTCCCGATCATCAGGAAAGTGATGGAAGGTGTCACCAACAGTGCTATCAAGCAGCACCTGCTCAGTGACACTCAGTTTGGGTTCTTCCAGGGCCACTTAGCTCCTGACCTCATTACAGCCTTGTTCAAACAAGGACAAAAGAGCTGAATTCCAGAGGTGACGTGAGTGTGACAGCCCTAGAAATCAAGGCTGCATTCAACCAAGTGTGGCAGCAAGGAGCCCTAGCAAAACTGGAATCAGTGGGTATCAAGAAGCAAACTCTCTGATGGTTAGAGTCATACCTGACACATAGGAAGATGGTCGTGGTTGTTGGTCAGTTACCTCAACTCCAGGACACCTCTACAGGAGTTCCTCAGGGTAGTGTCTCAGGCCCAACCGTCTTCAGCTGTTTCATCAGTGACCTTCCCTCCATCATAAGGACAGAAATGGGGATGTTCACCAATGTTCAACACCACTTGTGACTCCTCAGATACTGAAGCAGTCCATATCCAAATGCAACAAGATCTGGACAATATCCAAGCTTGGGGTGACAAGTGGCAAGTAACATGTGGGCTGCACAAATGCCAGGCAATGACCCATCACCAAAAAGAGACAATCAAACCACCCCCCCCCATGATGTTCAATCGTGTTACTATCACTGAAACTGCCATCATCAACATCCTGGGGATACCATTTACCATAAACTCAACCAGACTCGCCACATAAACACGGGTGGCTATGAGAGCAGGTCAGGGGCTAGGAATACTGCAGCGACTGTCACACCATCTGACTCCCCAGAGGCTGTCCACTGTTTACAAAGTACAAGTCAGGAGTGTGATGGAATACTCCCCACTTGCCTAGATGGGTGAAGCCCCAACAACACGCAAGAAGCTTGACACCATCCAGGACAAAGCAGCCCGCTTGATTAGCACTGCATCCACTCCCTCCACCACCGACATTCAGTTTAGAGCAGTGTGTACTTCTAAAGATGCACTGCAGAAATTCACCAAAGATCCTCAATCAGTACCTTTGAATTCGCGACCACTTTGATCTAGAAGGACAAAGCCAGCAGGTATGTGGGAACACCACCACCTTCAAGTTCCCCTCCAAGCCACTCACCATCCTGACTTGGAAATATATCACCATTCCTTTACTGCTGCTGGGTCAAAAATCCTGGAATTGCCTCCCTGATGGCATTGTGGGTCAACCTACAGCAGGTGGACTGCAGTGGTTCAAGAAGGCAGCTCACCGCTACCTTCTCAAGAGCAACTAGGGACTGGCAATAAATGCTGGCCAGCCAACGATACCCACATCCCTCAAATTTGAAAAAAATGGAAAATACCACAGCCTATCTATTTGCTCCAGCACAGCCAACATCTTTGTGAATCTCTTCTGCACCCTGTCTTGTGCCATCACATCCATCCTTCAGTGTGGTGACCACAGCTGCTCAAGCTGTGGCCTAACTAATGGCTTTGCTACCATATTCAGTGCCTTGACTAATAAATGCAAGAATTCCATATGCCTGTTTAACCATCTTATCGACCTAAAATTTCTTGGGCTATCAGAGTAGATGAGAACTGTATGATACAGTGAGTCATTACACGATCGTATGAGATGGAATTTGAACATTCCTTTATTGTCTGCTCTCTAAGTGCTTCCTTGCGAAACCAGTGCAGCTAGCTTCAACTTAAGGTGTTTATTTTTATGTAACTAGAGTCGGCGTATCATTGAGAATAAAAACAGAAATACTGCTGGAAATACTCATTAGGTCTGGCAGCAGAAGTGGACCGTGGAAGAGTAAATGTGTGATGAGCTTTTATTGGACATCAGCTGCTTACAATGCTAGAGCTCTACTGTAGTGTGCTTGGTATTAAAAGGCAACAATTTAAATTTACTCCAACAGTTCATTCAAAAGTAATTTATATTTTATAACTGTATGTACAAGCTTTGCTCATATTGAAGATCAGAACTGCGTAAAAATTAATTATGAAGAAAAATTTACTTGAAATTGTTTGCAAGAACAAATTCTTACACTACAGAACAGGTCATTTGTCCCATCACGTCTATGCTGGCACTCTGCTAAAGTAACACAGCAAGTCATCAAAAAGCCACAGTTGAATCTGCCTTCAACACATGCAGGTTAACGGATTCCAGATTTGAACTGCTCATTGCATGCGTTTTTCTTCATGTCAGCATATATTAATTGCATTTATTAAATATGATTTTGTTTGATAATGTTGCAATTTATGTCAAAGCAAACAGCTTACGGGCAGCACGGTGCCTCAGTGGTTAGCACTGTTGCCTCTCAGCACTGGGGATCTGGGTTCGAATCCAGCCTCGGGCGACTGTCTGTGTGTAGTTTGCACATTCACCCCATGGCTGTGTGGGTTTCCTCCAGGTGCTCTGGTTTCCTCCCACAGTCTAAGGATGCACAGGTCAGGTGGGTTGGCCACACTAAATTGCCCATAGTATCCAGGGATGTGTAGGTTGGGTGGATTAGCCATGGGAAGTGCTGGGTTGCAGAGATGGAGTGGGTCTGGTTGGGATGCTGTTTGGAGGGTTGGTGTGGACTTGATGGACTGAATGGCCTGCACCAGACTGTAGGGATTCTATGATTTTATCATTCTATGATTCTACCTGTCCTGCTGCCTTCAAGGATCTATGGATATGCACACTAAGGTCCTTCTGATCCTCTACTTCAATGGTCCTATCATTCAGCGTGTACTCCCATGCCTTGTTAGTTGGCCCAAAATGCATCACCCCACACTTCTCTGGATTAAATTCTATTTGCCACTGTTCAACGAATCTGACCAGCCTGTCAGTCATCCTGTAGACAGACATTTGTCCGTGCTATTTACCACACCATTTTTGTGTCTTCTGTGAACTTACTGATCATACTTCCTACATTCATGTCTAGATCATTAATGTACATAACAAACAGCAAGGGGCCCAGCATTGAAGCCTGCAGTACACCATTTGATACATGCCTCTGGTCGCAACGACCCTTTTGACCCTCTGCTTCCTGCCACTAAGCCAGTTTTGGATCCAAATTGTCCTAATCTCATGCATTCTTAACTTCTTAACCAGTCAGCCATGCAGGGCCTTGTCATAAGCCTCACTGAAGTCTGTGTAGACTTGGACAACTGCACCATTACTTATTCACCCTCTCAAAAAATTCAATTAAATTTATTAGACATGACCTACCCCTTTTAACCCATGCTGACTATCCTTGATTGATCTTTCCTTTCCAAGTGGAGTTTAATTCTGTCCCTGTTTCATCTTTAGTTCCACTACCACAGATATTAGGTTCACTGGCTTATAGTTTCCTGTTTTATCCACACCACCTTCTTAAATAATGGTCCCACATTCCAATACAACTCCCATAATTCTATACCAATTCCCAATTCTTCCAAAACCATAAAGTCAGGGATCAACTCTGGTTCAATGAAGAGTGCAGGAGGGCATGCCAAGAGCAACACTAGGCATACCTAAAAATGAGATATGAACACATTAAAGAATCACTTCATCGTGTTTTGTGGCGCTATCACTGTACTAAATGGGATAGAACAAGTATACCAACTTGAGACTGGGCATCCATGAGGCACTGTGGCCATCAGCAACCGAACTGTACTTCCAACACAATCTGCAACCTGATGACCCAGCAAATCCCTCACTCTACTATTTCCATCAAACCAGGGAATCAACCCTGGTCAATGAGGCATGCAGGAGCAGCAGTAGGCATACCTACAAATAAGGTTTCAGTCTAAGAAAGCTACTAAAGAAGTACAAACTGCCATGCAGCAATTAACAGAAAAAGTGATGGAAACTTAAAACAACTCACTAGAGGAGATGGCTTCATAAATATCTGCATCCTTAATGATTAAGGAGCCCAGCACAACACTGCAAAAGATGAGGCTGGATCCTTCATAACGATCTTCAGCCAGAAGTGCCAAGTAGATGATCCATCTCCGCCTCTTCCAATGAACATCCTCCCTGCTCCTGCGCTGTCTAGCCCAGTTAGAATTTTACATGTTTCAGTCAGATCTTCTCAAAGTCCCCAGCGTCACAGATTCCAGTCTTCAGCCAATTTTATTTAATCCACATAATATCAAGAGACCTTTGGAAGAACTGGATACTACAAAGGCTGTGTTTTTTCCAGGTCTTGCTGCATTTCGATGTGGCTTGCTTTAAATCTGAGGTGTTGTAAATGGGGGGTTGAATATTGGGCAGTCGTCCCCATTAATTGCGAGCACTGTTTGTATTATTTTGCAAATATCCCATAAAACATTATGAAATTGTGCCACCAGAAGTCTTAACATTTTTCCTCAAGTCACCATGATAATTGTCTTTAAAACTTCCATAAAAATGTTCTTAGAGAACAATATTGGAGATTGGACATCTTACTTTACACATGAGCAAATTGGTCTGAAATTTTATGCATCTGGAATGTGAAAAAAAAATTGATGTTTGTTTATCTAATTATTTTTGTTCAGCAGCCTGGTTCTCGAAGTGCACATGTTGGATCGGATGAAAAAATCGGCAACAGGGATGCGAAGGCTGGGCCTTTTGACACGTTCCCTTGTATAAGTAAGCAAAACTATGTCAAAACAAAATCTTGAGAATAATCCAATGTCCATTTTGTTTGTCATCCTTATTATGAAAGTTGTGTACTTTTTAATCAAAAAAAAATCTTCGTACCTTTCTGTTGACAATCGAAAGTGGAGCTGTAACTATACGTTTAAAATTGTGAAATACTTTTTTTGCAAGTCTAATCCATATTTGGTTTAAAACAGCTGAGAGTATTGTATAATACTTGTTGGAGGTGTTGCTTATTTATTTGTGCTTTCAGCTGATGGAAACATAAAAACAATTCCTGGTCCTAGTTTCTTCGAGCCTGCTTCACCATTCAGTATGATTATGACTTCTTCTGTCTCAATGCCATATTCCCACTTTCTCTCAATTTCCCTTGATGCCTTTGATACTTAAGAAAATTATCAATCTCTTTCTTGAATATTCTCAGTGACCTGGGCTCCCTAGTCGACTGTGGTAATGAATTTCACAGGTTGATCTAATTGTTTCCTCACCTCAGTCCTAAATGGCGTACCTTGTATCATGAGACTGTGACCCCCCAGTTCTAGACTCCCCAGCAAGAGGAAATATCCTCCCTGCATTTAGCCTGTATTGCCCTGTTAGAATTTTACATGTTTCAATCTGATCCCGTCTCATTCTGAACTGTAGTGAACAGGCTCTGTTGAACCAATCTTTCCTCATAGGACATTCCTGGTATCAGCATAGTGAACCTTTGCTGTACACTGTGGCAAGTGTATCTATCTCCTCTTGGCAAGGGAGATCAAAGCTGCACGCAGTATTCCAGGTGTGGTCTGACCAAGGCCCTATATAATTGCAGTAAGAGATCCCTGCTTCTGAATTCAAATCTTCTTGCATTGAAGACTAAAATACAATTTGCCTTCCTCGTCATTTGATGCATCTGCCTGTCTGCTTTCATTGACTGGTGTACATCCACATTTCCCAATATATCACCATTTAATTAATACTCTGCCTTTCTGTTTTTCACACCAAAGTGTATAACTTCACATATATCTGTCATGTTTGCTGACATGCTCAACTTGTCTAAACAGCCCTGAATCCTCTTTACATCCTCCTGACAACTCTCAATCCAACCTAACTTTGTGTCGTCAACTTGGAAATATTGCATTTGGTTCCCTCATCCAAGTCATTTACCTATATCATGAATAGCTGGCACCCAAGCACTGACCCCTGCACTAAACCATTAGTCACTGCCTGCTACCTGGAAAAAAAGACCCATCTATTCACACACTCTTCTGTCATCCAATTCTCAATCAATGTCAGAATATCACCGCAATCCTGTACACTTTATTTTGCCCATTATCCTCTTCTATTAACCCCTTAACAAAAGCATTCTTGAAATCTGAATACGCCACCAATGTATTCTACTAGTTATATCCTCAAACAAATCTCCAGTAGATCGGTTAAGCATAATATCCCTATCATAAGCCCATGCTGACTTTTGTTGAATTCTGTTACGACATTTCTCCACTACTGATGTTGGGGTAATTGGCCTGTAATTCTGTTGGTTCTCTCCTGCTTTTTAAACTTTTTTTGAAACATTTACCACCCTTTAATCTGTAGGAACTGCTCTAGATTTTGGAAAATGACCACGAATGGATCCAATATTTCCAGGGACACTTCCCTTTAATGCTCTGGGATGCAGATTATCAGGCCCTGGGTATTTGTCAGCCTTGAACCCAATTAATTTCTCTAATTTTTTTTTTCCTACTAGTACGGATTATCTTCCGTTTTGCCTTCTTGTTATACCCTTAGTTCCATAGCATTTCTGAGAAATTATTTGTGTTCTCTTTTGTGATGATTGAGGACGGCTGTTTTTATGTAACTAATTGACTTTCAGGTAGAATGTAGAGTATCCCAATTGCCATGTAAGTTACATAATTTGCTATACAGATTAATAGCATAGCATATTCTGCCTTGAGCATCAAACCTCTGAAGAACCTCCCAGAGGCTGACTAAAGAATAGTGGAATGGACTTGAGAACAAATTATATGCATAGAAATGTTGAAGTGTGGTTCAATAGTTATTTAAATATCTTATTTAACCTGTTTTTCTAATCAACCTATTAAGAGATGTTACCTCTGGAGCAGGTGGGACTTGAACCCGAGTCTCTTTGTCCAGTGCATTCAGGAAGGATTCCTGACCCAGTATGTAGATAGAGCAACACGTGGAGAGGCCACTTTGGATTTGGTGCTTGGCAATGAACCGGGCCAAGTGTTAGACCTGTTGGTAGGAGAGCATTTTGGCAGTAGCGATCATAACTCTGTTACTTTTACAATTCTCATGGAAAAGGATAGGTACATACAGCAGGGTAAGGTTTATAATTGGGGGAAGGGTAATTACAATTCTGTTAGGCAAGAACTGGGTAACAGAAAATGGGAACAGATGCTGTCAGGGAAGAGCACTCTAGAAGTGTGGAGATTGTTTAAGGAATGCATACTGCGTGTGCTCGATATATTTGTCCCTAGCAGGCAGGGAAGATGCGGTCGAATGAGGGAGCCTTGGTTCTCAACAGAGGTGGAATGACCGCTTAAGAGGAAGAAGGATGCTTATGTAAGGTTTTGGAAACCAGGAACGGAAAAGGCTTGAGAGGGATACAAGTTATCCAGGAAGGAGCTGAAGAAAGGGCTTAGGAGAGCTATAAGGGGCATGAGAAAACCTTGGCAGATAGGATCAAGGAAAACTCCAAGGCTTTTTGCACGTACATGAGGAATAAGAGAATGACCAGAGAAAGGGTAGGGCTGATCAAGGATTGTAAAGGGAATTTGTGCACGGACCCTAAAGAGATAGGACAGGTCCTTACTGAATACTATTCTTCAGTATTCACAACTGAGAGGGACCTAGTTGTAGAGGAGGACAGTGTGAAACAGGCTGGTAGGCTAGAAGAGATCGCTATTAGTAAGGAAGATGTGCTAGGAATTTTGAGGAAGGTGAAGATAGATAAGTCCCCTGGGCCTGATGGGATTTATCCAAGGATTCTATGGGAAGTGAGGGAAGAGATCGCAGGGCCTTTGGCGATGATCTTTTTGTCCTCACTGTCCACGGATATAGTGCCGGAAGATTGGAGGGAGGCAAACGTCATTCCCTTGTTCAAAAAAGGGAATAAGGATAACCCCGGAAATTACAGGCCAGTTAGTCTTATGTGGGCAAATTATTGGAAAGGGCTCGGAGAGATAGGATTTATGATCACTTGGAAAGGCACAGTTTGATTCGTGATAGTCAGCAAGGATTTGTGAGGGGTAGATCATAACCTCACAAACCTTACTGAATTCTATGAAGAGGTGACCAAACACGTGGATGAAGGTAGAGCAGTGGATGTGGTATACATGGATTTAAGTAAGGCGTTTGATAAGGTTCCCCATGGTAGGCTCATGCAGAAGGTAAGGAGGTATGGGAAAGGGAGAAATGTGGCAGATTGGATTCAGAATTGGCTGACCCTTAGAAGACAAAGGGTTGTAGTGGATGGAAAATATTCAACATGGTGCTCAGTTATGAGTGGTGTACCACAAGGATCTGTTCTGGGTCCTCTTCTATTTGTGATTTTTGTAAATGATTTGGATGAAGGAGTGGAAGGGTGGATTAGTAAGTTCACGGATGATACGAAGGTGGGTCGCGTTGTGGACAGTGCTGAGGGCTTGTTCTAGGTTACGAAGGGACATTGATAGGATGCAGAGCTGGGCTGAGAAGTGGCAGATGGAGTTTAACCCTGAAAAGTGAGGTGATTCATTTTGGAAGGATAACCTTGAAAGCAGAATACAAGGTTAAGGGAAAGATTCTTGGCAGTGTGGAGGAGCAGAGGGATCTTGGGGTTCATGTCCACAGTTCCCTGAAAGCTGCCACCCACGTGGATAGAGTTGTTAAGAAGGCGTATGGTGTGTTAGCTTTCATTAACAGAGGGATTGAGTTCAAGAGCCGTGAAGTTATGCTCCAGCTATACAAAAGCCTGGTTCGGCCACATCTGGAGTATTGTGTCCAGTTCTGGTCGCCTCATTACAGGAAAGATGTGGAAACGTTGGAAAAGGTGCAGAGAAGATTTACCAAGATGTTGCCTGGAATGGAGGGAAGGTCTAAGGAGGAAAGGTTGAGAGAGCTAGGGCTTTTCTCTTTAGAACAACGAAGGATGAGAGGTGACTTGATAGAGGTGTACAAAATGATCAGAGGTGGAGGTAGCTCTTACGAGGTGGCATAGTTTTAAAGTGAGTGGAGGTAGATATAGGGGAGACGTCAGAGGTAGGTTCTTTACTTGGAGAGTGGTCGGGGCATACCTCATTAGGGGCTTTTAAACGGCTATTAGATAGGCATATGGGTGATAGTATAAGGTCGGGGTGGAGGTTAGATAGACCTTAGGATTAGGGTAAAAGTTTGGCGTAACATCATGGGCCCAAGGGCCTGTACTGTGCTGTACTGTTCTATGTTGTTGATCCAGGGGTAAGGACACCAGCACTGTGCCACGAGAGGGCCCCGGATAGTTAGTTAAACTGTTAACTCAAAATTGCCAATAGGTGACCATAGTGTTACTAATTTATTGTATTCAGTTAACTTTTGTTTTGAGCTTAGTGTTATTATCTGCAGTCCTGAAAGTTTTTAACCACGCCCCCAATCCCTAAACTTGTTCTAAAACTAGTTCTTTCGTGTAGGTTCTGCAGATCTGCAGCAGATGTTTCCCACGCCTCCATCCTTGGAGCAGCATGGCCCAGGCTACTCTCCAATGAATATTAACTGCAAAGAGTTTGGAGGCCTGGATAACACCGCAGGAATGACTCTGGATGGCCACCATTTTACTGCGACAAGTCTGAATCATTTCAAAATTGAAGTGGAAGAGGGAATGGGGAGTCCTAAACCTTCAGAGATTAAGGTGACAAAACTTAGTCTGTAACTTCCAGAATTATTTTAAAAGTCTTATTGCTAAACCTAAAGTTTTCAGTGGATTCTGGTATGATGAACTTAATGCATTTAATTGATTGTATGGACTGATATGCCATGCACTCATACACTCAAAGACTTTAGTGATATGCCTCTGATAAATGCAATTTTTTGTTTCAATATTTTGTAAGTTATGTAATTTATTATGTATTACTTAAAGAAAAATAAAAAGATCCCAAGATGGGAGATTGGTAGGAGGCTGGGACGCACTGCCAGAAGAGGTGGTGGAAACAGGCACGTTGGTGACATTTGAGGCATCTGGATGTTTACATGAATAGGGAGGGAATAGAGGGACATGGACCGAATAAGGGCAGAAGGTTTGTTTTTTAGTTTAGTTAGGGCATGATGATCAGCACAGGCTTGGAGGGCTGAAGGGCCTGGGCCTGTGCCTGTGCTGTACTTCTCTTTTATTTATGGAGGAACTGAGACAAAGCGGACGATGTCCGCTGATGAAGGGTCTAGGCCCAAAACGTCAGCCTTTCTGCTCCTACGATGCTGCTTGGCCTGCTGTGTTCATCCAGCTCTGCACCTTGTTGTCCCGTGATGTCCGCTGAAGGCTGTCTATGGCTAAAGTATTGTTGTTCACCTCTGATAAAACCTGATCAAAAGTTGTCTTTTTTTTAACATCCTCAGGACTTTTCTTATGTTTATAAACCCGAGAAGTGCCAAGGTTACGTGGGGTGTACTATGTTTGCACCACTGAAAATCTTACCAAGCCAGTGTCTGCCTCCTGTAAAACTCCCAGAAGAATATCGTCCTTCGTGGACTGTGGGCAAGTTGGACCTGCTTCCTCCTGTACCTCCCATGCCGTATATCCGTGACATGTAAGTTTGATTTGCAGTTTTGTAGCATGAGTGCAGGCATTTAGCAATAACTGAACTCAACCATATAAAAGAAATCAAGCATATTGATTCCAGTGAATCAAGAGGAGATGTAATAGGTTTTTGACATTAACATATTCTTATAGGGGAAGACTATTTTCTATGGCTGCAATGTCAATATTGATGAGATCATGAGTTTAAAATGTCGAGGAGTGAGGTTTGAGATTCGGAATCTGCTGTGTTTTGCTGCTGGGAGTAGTTGCAGCCTTCAAGGGAAAGTTGTATCAATATTTGAAGTGGGGAAAGTGCAGGGCAACAAGAGAGCAGGATTATTTTGGAATAAAAACAGTGCTGGAAACTCTCTGCAGCTCTGACAGTTTCTGCAGAGAAAGAAACAGTTATGCTTCTGTTCTGTTTGCCAGAACTCTCCATTCCTAACTTTCTTGCTGAACAGCCTTGCTGACAGCCTCTGTTCCCAACTGGTATTGTTCATAATAGTGCCATTAGCTCTGAACTGTTGTGTAGGACAGTTGGTGCTGTCGATATTATGAATAGACATTAACGTCAGTTAGAGTTTAGATCTATAACTTTTACAGAGCAAGGGCTGATGTGTTTAGTGTACTTGTAACACTGAATATTTTACAACACTCAGCTGCTTGTGCTAATGCTACAGCTGTTTATGATTTGGATCTTTCAAAATAAGTGGCAGCAACCAGTGTATATTTAGCTGTGGAATTTAATAGTTTTTTGAAGAAATGGACGAATGTAAAATTTTATCTGATGAAACATAATAATGAATCTAAGTATGGTAGGAATATAATACTGTATGCCAGTGTAACAATTATCATAGGAAAACCACAGCAATATGACTATTTTAACGTAAAATTGAATTTTGGTATACACTTCAGTGTTCTTGTTTTGAGATTAATGAATAACCTACTTTATTGTCTAGAAATATTCCGAGTGTTGGAAGTGGTATGGATCAGGATTACATACAGACCTGCACACCACAAACGCATACCCCATTTGGAGTGACGAACAGTGCTCCTCCAAGTAATGGTGCTGGTGTTCTTCCATCTCCTGCCACTCCACGCATCTCTGCTCCAACTCCAAGGACACCAAGGACCCCACGCACTCCTCGTGGATGTGGGGGTCCAGCCAGTGTTCAGGGCTCTGTGAAGTATGAGAACTCTGATTTATATTCACCTGCTTCCACACCTTCAACTTGTCGCCCACTGAATTCAGTAGAACCTGCAACGGTGCAATCCATTCCTGAAGCGCACAGTCTTTATGTGAACCTAATCCTATCTGATTCCATCATGAATCTCTTTAAAGATTGCAGTTTTGACAGCTGCTGCATCTGTGTCTGTAACATGAACATCAAAGGAGCTGATGCTGGATTGTACATCCCAGACCCTACCAAAGAGTCTCAGAACCCATGCACATGCGGATTCAGTGCTGTGATGAACCGAAGGTTTGGAAACAACTCCGGGCTCTTTTTGGAAGATGAATTGGATATTATTGGGCGAAACACAGACTGTAGCAGTGAGGCTGAAAAGCGATTAGAGGACCTCAGGAACATGTCTGTTGAGCAGGGGGAAGGAGGCACCAAGGAGACCGAAAAAGTGCCTGACGAGTTAATATTGCTACTTCAGGACCAGTGCACTAACCCCTTCTCCTCATTGAAATCAGTGGATCCTTCAGTAGTGGCAAAATTACAAACAGTGGGGCCGCCGGTACGTGTGGAGGATAGAGACTACTACAGGGAATGTTACATTGCTTTGGAGCAGGGATATCAGTTTATGGACAATATGTCGGGTGGGAAGCTTGATGAAGCACTTGTGAAGAACTCTTGTTTACATCATTGGTCAAGAAGAAATGGTGAGTTACTCATAAAAATGGACCAGAAGCTTTAAATTAGCAATGATGGTGGTTTTTTTCTTAATGAGATTAATAATCTTGCACTAACTGCAATTCCTTCCCTATTATAGTTCCGGTGTTTGTTTTTTAAAAAAAAAAATTGATAAGTAGAAAGTTCAAAAATTTTCTAGGAAATTTGATTTGAAATTCATCTACAAAAGTGCTCCTGTTTTTTTAAAAACAATGTTTAAAATTGATAATTTCTTTCCCTTGAATAATTTTCTTCGTAATATCAGAAAAGCTATTCAGAAATATTATGTTCTAGCATTGAAGGATGCTTGATTAATATCAGTGATAGATTAATTTAGTCTTTGAAGTAGCCCCAGCATTGGACTTGTTTCTGAATGCCACTTGAATCATTGTCGAACTATATCAAGCCTGGTTGCACAGATGTTTTCAACACTTGACATGTGTGACAGACCATTGCTCAATAAAAAGACTACTGTAATTCTTTATCCCCTCACTGTGGATGGGTAACAGCTAGTGGAGCTATTTTGAGTCCTTTAATTAGAAATAATTATTTGTGTAGTGACACTCATTCTAATATGCATACTTAAATGAGAATTTGCATGCATCTACCCCAGGCCACTCAAGCAATATGAATTCCTAGCATATTGAAGGAAGTGATTATTCTCTTTAGCCTTAGCTTCCAATTTACCTTGCTCCTCCAGCCAAAACGTGTTTTACTTATTTTAAATAAAACTTTTTTAATTTTTCTGTTTCATTTAAACTAACATATTTCCTTACATTAGTTTGTAGAATGGTTACAGCACAGGATACTGTCCAGTCCTTCATGTCTGTGCGGTCTCTCTGCAAGCCCAAACCAGCTAGTTCCACATCCCTGCGCATTCAGTAGAACCATGCATTTTTTAAAATCTTAGATTCAATCAGGGTTTCAAATCAATTTATCTCCACTATACTTTTTTTATTCAATACATTTAAGATTTTGACCACCTGCTGCTTTAAAAAACAGTTGTTCTTCATGCAATTGTTTGGTCTTTTGCCATTAATCCTTCATCTGTACCCTCTGGTTCTCAGCCCACCTATCAGTGGGAGCACTTTATATCCACTATATCTTGACCATGATGTTCAAAAGTACTTTTGGTTGTTAAAGAGTGGTGCCCATTGCTTCAGTGTTTTTGCTATTATAATATCTTACCCCATTCTTTTGCTTACTACCAGTTCTCAGCCCATTTTTTAATGTTGTTCAGAACTACTCTGAATGCTGGTTTGTAGTAGTTTTATAGAGTAAACAATAAGGAATTTGAAGGAAAAACCTTGAAGTGTGTGTGTGTGCGTATAATAGGCAACTTTCATTTTGGGGATGTCCTAAAATACTTTGCCAATGTATTGCTTGTAAAATGTGGGCATTGTTTTTGTAGAAACCTGGCAGCCAATTTTGTGCCAAGATGAGTGTCTCAAATGGCACTGAATGAGTTAAATAACTAGGTGACATTTGAGGAATAATGCTTGGTTAGGGCACTTCAAAATGTTTGTAGACCACTCCTTCTAAACACAATATTTCTCCCATTATGCCCTCCTTTGACATTTCGTCAGAAGAAACTGATCTATGCCACTTAAATATAGATTTAATGTTTCAGAATGTGGTGACTGTTGCATTATGATGCTGGCTGCGTGATCAGTCTGAATGCCTGCATGATATAGTGCTTTTTGTAGCCTGTTTGTTCTTAGATGTCCTGTATTAGCTGAGTGGACAACTATTAATTTATAACATACAAAATACTGCTTACTTCATATCTGAAGTTTGAATAAAGTCATGGAGTCACACAGCACGGAAACAGGCCCTTTGGCCCAACACGTCCAGTTTTCCTAAATTGAACTAGTCTCATTGTCTGTGTTTGGCCCATATCCCTCTAAACCTTTTCTACCCATGTCCCTGTCCAAATGTCTTTTCAATGATGTAATTGTACCTGCCTCTACCACTTCCTCTGGCAGTTCCTTCCACATTTGCACCACCCGCTGTGTGAAAAGGTTGCCCCTCGGGATCTTTTTAACTTTCCCCTCTAATCTTAAACCTATTCCATCTAGTTTTGGACTCTGATCCTGAAAATTAAAATTAGATTGTTAGCTGATGAGTGCTTAACATGTTCGCTATCACTCATCCTTTCATGTTTGGAAGGATTGTTGATGCATGTTAAAATAAACAGATTTATTACTACATTAAAATAACAGACAGACATGTGTTACAACCCATGTTGAGACCAGTAACTAACCTTTAAAAGTAAGTAATCCCTGTAATGCCAATGGGAAAAAAATAATGTTGGGCAAGATTTCATATTTCTTAAAAAACCCTGTCACAAATCAACTAAAGTGCCAGTATACAGTTGAATTGTATACTATTTCAAATAAAAAACGAAGTTTGACATTTAAGTAATCATGCACTATGCTTTTCAGGTATTTACTTGAATTACTTCCTGCACAGCTGTGGCATCACTTATGATCTCAATCTTTCTAGCTTGGTCTCCATTATATTGGATTGTCCTCTTCCCGTTCACTTATTTGACTCTCTAGTTGCATTTACCATATTCCATGTGAAGTCACCAGAAATTGCTTAGAGTTGGCAATGTCCATGCCTACAGTCCTCCTGTCACTTCTGTCACAGCAGTTCTGATGGCACAGGGACTCCCTTTTCTGACTTTAAGTAGTTCAGTGATCTCTGGCATCATTAAAGCTGCAACACTGAGCTGTATCCAGTCTATAACCTCCTGTCCTTGTCTTGAACTCTCCATCTTTTGCATTTGTATAACATACACAGTAACATGGCTTGTGCTATATTCTCAGAAGCTTGTTTCAATACTTATGATCTGTTCTAAACTGTCAAACGGAATCGTTGATGAAGTGCCAAATTTCATTCCACACTTGCAGGTTCTGAGTCTGTTGAATTACCTGTCGCACAAGAGGCTAGGATCCTCCCACTGCAGTTAGCTTTCTATTTAGTTTTTTGCTTCTTTTCATTCCCAAGGCAGCATCTGGTCACATAGTAATTTCCTGAATTTGTTAATGCCATAATCAGGAAACCAATTGATTCTGTTTCAGAATATGTCTCAGTTCACTTTGGTCTTAAAGTAAAATTACACAAAAAGAGAACACAGCTTTTCCAAAAGCACGAATCATCATACATGCTATTAGGACTTTTTGTGTTTGTCTCTTGGTTTCAACAACTGTAGTTTTTAGCATAAAATGAAACTTAAAGAAATAATTATTCTAAAGTATTGCATATAAGCCAACTCATATTTATAACCTATCTTATTATCAAGCAGTAAACTTCTGGTTTTTGTTTCTCCAGCTGTGGATGTCAGCATGCTGTGTTCGCAAGATCTCCTGCGCCTTCTTCTATCCCTTCAGCCTGTTTTGCAAGATGCCATTCAGAAGAAACGAGCTGTTAGATCATGGGAGAGTATCCAGCACGTGCAGGGGCCTCTCACTTGGCAGCAGTTCCACAAATTGGCTGGTCGGGGATCTTACGGTAAGTTTTTCTTTTTTTTTTGGGCCTTTCACTTATTACTTTTGAATGTGAAACACCTACAGATTATAAGGATGAGCACTACTCTATAAGAACAGTGTTATAAGCCATATTTAATCACCTGTTTCTTTCATTGATACCTGAATCCGGCTGAGATCGTGGTTTCAGGTCAGGGACCAACTGGTTTTTGGACAAAGGATGTTTTCAGTTTTGGCTCCAGTACAGTCTATTTGGGTCTGTTTGGGTCCATTTAGGCCCTTTGTGGTGGAAGAGAAAACTTTGCTTAACCCAAATGGACCTGAAAGTGAAGTTTTTTGTTTAACCTAGGGCTCAAACAGGAGGCACGCTGAGGTTGACCCTTTGGGGAAAAAATAACTTTGCTTTTAGGTCTGTTTGGGCTCGTTCAGATCAAGTGAATTTTTTCCTGAAGGGTGTAAACTCGGCGTATTTGCAGGTCCATTTGGCTCCGCTTCTTTAAAAAAAGCCATGGGGGTTCAGGTCTTTTTAGTTTTCAGGCATGAGGACTAAAAGATGTGCAGATTAACAATATGACAAAAAATGATAATCCATACTTTGTAGAATAAAGTTGAACATGTCTACTACTATTTTTACTGTAATTTTCACCACAAGCACTTCACTCAAGAAATCTAGGTGAAACATCCATAATTGTTATCTGAAACTGAATTGAAATCCTGGTTTTAGTTCAGAGTTCTACAGAATCTATTCCATGTTAAGCAGTTTTTGAAAACTGCTGTTGAAATTAATGGTGCAGTTTTAATTGATGTTTGGGGATTTCGCACTATCTGGCATGTGACTTGTCAGGCAAACTTTCACCACATCTTTGTCATCCTCTCCTTCAGAAGAATCATTTTGACTCAAAATGTTAACTGTTTTTCGCTCCACAGATGCTGCCAGACCTGCTCAGTTTCTTCAGCACTTTATTTTTATTTCAAATTTTTAGCATCCACTGTATTTCTTTTCATTGGAGTTAGCATCTGATGGACTGCTGTACATTCCTATTAGCTGGTTCTTGAGACAGTTTCCATTTCCTCAATTCACACTTTGCCCTTTAAATAATAACTCTCAGAAAATGAATCCGAACCAATAGGCTGTTTGATACGGCTGTCTCAGTTCAAAATCCATCTGTTGCATTTCTGTTAAAGACTATGAGCTAAGCATTCTATTTACCTGCCTCCTTCATTCTGAAGTTTTTGAAAATTGAAAATTTCCTCAACATCTCCCTTTTTCTTATGCTCTTTTTGTCTAATTCTGAGAGGTCTATTCAAACACTGTCAGTTCACAGTTCAAGATGATCCTCCTGTAGCATCTCAGTTTCTTTTATTTCCATTGGTTGTTCTTGTGCCTTCAGTGAGGCGAGTACTTTTAAACCATCTGGGTCCCCAAAGATTAAGATCAGATTCTTCTACAGGGAATTGTTTCACTATTCCAACCACGACTTTCCCACTTAATAAGTCGCTCTTTAATCTAGTCCAGTTTGTAACCTTTTGTGTCCCTCTAATTAATATCTTATCCTTCATTAGCCCTCCCTGGAAGACACAGTGTATAACTAGGCAGCATCAGTGATTGATTTGCTACAGTGTGTCTCAATATCTTTTATTGGTTTATCTCCTTGAAAAATAAGGATACATCTCTCCCTTTGAAATAAGATACTCATCATCCCATTGTCTGATTCTGTATCAATAATTGATGTACTTTTCGATTGTCCTGAGCCAACTCCCCCCTCCTAATAGGGTCTGTTGAAAGGCATTCAATTTGTACAACTGCTACAGTTTTATTACTTATTTCTTTTCCTGATGCACCCCACCCTTTTCTGAGGATTCCTTAGGCAGCCCAAAACTGCAATAAATCTCGCATTTCACTTCTAGCAATTAGCTTTAGTATGTCTAGTATTACTTCAATAAAAGCATTTTATTTAGGTTGAAGTCTTTCTCCTTTGTTATTTTGGCATTCTTCCGCCTGCTCCCCAAAATTAATACCTTCACCATCCCCAGACTTGGTTAACCTTGCCGATTCTGATATGACCATTTTACCACCTGTAACTGGGTGAGATATCATGTCAGTAATTGTACAAATGCCATTAGATTTCATTCTTCTAGTTCACTGTTTTAATTGATAAACATTAGGGACACGTATTGAGTTCTGCCTCTTCAGCAGTTCCATGCTCTGCATAATGCTGTTCTGAAACTGGTGTAAACATTCATATCTGTAACTATCAGGCCATTGTAACTTTTAAGGTCCAAATACCTTTGCACACTTCAGTCTTTTCAAAGAAGTGAAATATCTTCCAACTGGATCCTCTAGCCTTGGGTACTTCACACAGATTTCTGGTTAAATCCCATCCCTACTGGAGTCAGAGTTGCCCACTGAGCTCCTATCTATTCTCTAATCCTTTATTCTAAGGGTTTTATCCAGCCATTCATGTTGGCTGATTTCCTTCTCTGTGGAGCTCACATTTTTAAAATTAGATTTTCTTTTCTATTGCTCTTTTATTTCTCCTCTCTACACTATCCAAGCTTTCTTATTTCTGGCTCTTTCTGTTTTGACTTTCTTTCTTTCTTCCATTTCTTTTTTGTTTTCATTCTCTAGCTTTTTCATTTCTCTCCATCTTTTATTTATTCAAGTTTTTTAAAAAAAAATTTCTAACTGAACATTAGTTAATTCTAGTGGTAACACACCAATTTCAGATTTCCCTCCATTTAAATTTAAATGCTGAATGTTATTTTAAGCATCTTGTCCTTAGAATACCCTGCTTATATTTCTACCTAAAATTCAACTGGTTTGATCTTTGTCAAAGATTTTAAATAATTCACTTTCATTTCCCATGCCCAGAAAAGTCGTAGAAACAGCTATTTTGAAATTGTAATCCATGTTATTGAGATTGTATTCATTAAGATATAACATTCGCTGTCAAAAAGTATTGCATTCTTCATTGGTCTGCATTATATTTAATTAGACTTCTTAAACCTGAGCAGAGGGAAGGATATGCTCGTTTGAGTTGAGACAGCACGTGAACGGTTGGTTTATATCAGCACTTTAATGCTTGTTTAGATGGGGGTTGAGCTTGGTATCAAGCTTCAACTGTCTCATTAACACTACTGTTGCCGTAAATGCTGCTGTACTATTGAACAAATCCTCTACCGTTGAGACCTGTTTTCCCTCTAGTTTTCTTTTCGGCTGTGCAGTCTTCTGAGGTCTGTGCACGGCAGTGTTGATGCCAGTTGCCTTGCACAGAACCTTGGAGTGGCTGCACATGTGCAACTGAGCAGTTTGATGGGAACATTGGTCAAGGCATATGCTTTCAAAATACAAACAACGATAATGCTTTTATTAAAATGTACAAAGTACTGGAGAAACTCAGACTTGGCAGCATCTGTGGAGAGAGAAATGGAGTTGATGTTTCGAGTCTGATGTGATCACTCTTCAGAATGGAGCTGCAGTTGAGGGAGGGTACAGGATAGATGGTTGACCTGGTGTACTTTTGGAATAGCATGAAGTCGACCAAAACCATTCCGAGTTTCAGGTGCAGAAAGATTCACGCAAGATGAGCAGTGTTAGGAAGGTTGGAATGTGGATTTGGGGTCAAATAGGACACTGAGATTTGGAACAGTCTAGTTCAATCTGTGGTAATGTCTTAAATGGGGATGGAAGTGGTGACACTGATAAAGAGCCAGTGGCAGGATCTGGAAAGAGTGACCTTGATGTTCCCAGTGTTTAACTGGTGGAAGCTCCAGTTCATCCAAGATTGAATGTCAAACAAGTGGCCTGACAAAGAGTCACTAGTGGATTTGACATAATTTGTAGATAAGTAGAACTGAGCGCCATTAACTTAGAGGTGGAAGCTGACCTAAAGTGTATAGATGATGTAACCAAAAGGCTAGCAACCAGATGCACAAGACAAAGGAATTTTAGTAGATTAGAAGGCATTTCTGTGCCACAAGAAAATTAAGTTAGAAATGTTTTAGCTACAAATGGATTGGTAAGGGCACATCTGAGCAAGAAAAGCACTCTAAGCTGAACAACACTCCTGGCAATGGCTGAAAATGGTGTGTTTGTCTCTGCTAAAAGGTGTGGAGAAGTTGAGAAAGGTTAGTATATTATAGTCATGGATCATACATAATTTGGAGATGGGGGTGGGGTATAGTACTGTTCAAAGAAGGAATAAGGTTGCACTGTCATGAAGAGGAAGTGGGAACAGTACCTGATGGGAGGAAAGCAGTTATGATATCAGTTACAAAAACAGAAATTGCTGGTGAAACTCAGTAGGTCTGGCAGCATCTGTGGGAAGAAAGCAGATTCTTTACTGCACTTGAAACGTGAACTCTGCTTTCTTCCTGTAGATGCTGCTATACCTGAGTTTTGTCAGCAATTTCTCCTTCTGTTTCAGGTCTCCAGCATCCACAGTTCTTTATTTTATACTGATATCAGTTACCATGGGGTCCGGAAAGAGAAGTTGGGACGTCAGTGCTAACTAAGGTGCTGAGACAATGCTTTGGTTATGAAGAAGAGTCAAATTTATCTTGAAACATTAACTTTGCTCGGTACTGATACTGCCAGACCTGCTGAGTTTTACCAACACTTTTTATTTGAATAGTCAGCTCTTTAATTCGAATGGGATTAAGCCAGCAGATGGTAGGTCTCCTGAACAAAATTGGAAAAGATGTGAGAGGAGATGGGCAGAGGCAGCTGAAAGAATGAATTAATTTTTATAGTGTAAAATGATTTCTGATAGTGATTGATTGTTCTATCCTCAGCAGTGCTGAAGACAGTTGAAGTTCGAATCAAAAAATTGTTCTTAATTTAAAATGGAAGCTGTTTAGATCACAGATATTTTTCTTACTGAATCTGCTGGAATATTATAGCTCTGCAGTTCCCTAAAATACAGACTTTTATCTTGAGTCATCGGGTCAATGCTGAGTTTTGGTATTTTTTCCTTTTTATGATTGAGTGGCTGGTTGACTGTTGCTTAACATGGCATAACAAGTACTAATAGTTTCTGCAGAGGAATATCTTGTTTATGTGGTACTTTATCATGTCCTTGGGATGCAACATAGTACTTTACAACCAATGAATTGCTTTTTGAAGCACAATAAATGTTTAGCAGGCAGCTAGGTTTTCCATAAACAAGGTCCCATGAATACAAAACAAAACTGACTAGCTAAAAGTTGACCAGAATGCACGGTCAATTCAACTCCTCATTTGATTGATGCAGTGCAATGTTTTATGACTACTGCAGAGGGTAGATAGGGCCACAGTTTTGACCTTGCTTGAAAGGACAGTAATGCAGCATGCCTCCAACAATGTAGTGTTTCCTTGGTGCTGTGTTTAAGTTTCAGCTACATTTTGAGCTCAGGTCTCAGAAGTGTTATTTAGATCTAGAATGTTTTGACTTGAGCAAGAGTGAACCACTGAACCAAGCTGATTTAAATGAGTAAAATGAATCTTGTATGTCAATCTGGGAACGGTTTCAATGGTCCCTGTTTGAAAATAAATGGTGAAGAAACCAGCACAATTCTTAATACCTTAAGTCATGCAAAAGGTTCCATGACTCCTGTTTATTTGAATAATGTCTTGCTTAGACATCGGTAACAGTAGACTCTTCAGCAAACCCACCCTGGCAAAGTGCCACTTGATCATCAGTAAAGTGATGGAAGGGGTAGTCTGTAGGGCAGTTGTTCCTAATAACCTGTGGACTGACATTCAGTTGAGTCAGTCAGCTCCTACCATTTTACAGATCTGAATTCCAGAGGTGAAGTGACTGTGATTACTTTTGACATCAAGGAAACATCTTACTGCATGTGACAACAAGATTCCTCAGCAAAACTGAAGTTGCTTGTTGGAATCATACTTTGCCCAAAGGAATTTGGTTGTGGTTGCTGTTGGTTAATCATCTCAGTTCCAGGATACTACTACAGGATTTCCTTATGGAACGTATTTTTCATCAAACTATTATGTGCTGTGACACACCTCTGGAGCAGATGGGATTTGGACCTGGGCAGAGTTTGACACGCTACCACTGTGCCACAAGAGTCCTTTCAGGACCTTTATAGATATTTTCTAATCAACCCATTCAGAGATGTTGTTATACACCTCTGGTGCAGGTGGGACTTGAATCTCTGTCTCCTGGCTCAGAGGTAGGTACAATACCATTGTGCCATAAGATCCCGAAATTTCATCAGGGTAAGGTATTTTCTGCTCAGCCTGTCCACGGATGTTAAAACACATCTTTGGAGCAGGTGGGACTTGACTTGACTTGACCCTTTCATCTTGACTCCGATACTGAAGCAATCTGTGTTCCTGTGCAGCAGGGGCTGGGCAGCAGTCAGATAAGGGCTGATGAGTAGCATGAATGTTGCTTATTACTTGAGTGCCAGGTACTGACCATCTCCTCCAAGAGAATCAAATCATGCCTGAATCCTCCACTTTCAATATTTTGGGGGTTACACTTGACAAAAAAACTGAACATGGATCACTCAAATATTTGGCTACAAGGGTAGGTCATAGGCTAAGTAACTCACCACCTCACTCCCCAAAACCGGTCCACCATCTTTTAAGGCCCAAGTCAGTGATGGAATGCTCTCCATTTGCCTGGGTGAGTGCAGCTCCGAAAATGCACCAGCAGCTTGACACTATCTAGGACAAAGCATCATGTTGTTTGGCTTTCTGTCACTACCTTCAGTATTCATTCCCTTCAGCACTGATACGTACCACCGGCAGTGAGCACCGTCTACAAAATTCACATCAGCAACTCACCAGCGCACTTTCAATTGTGCCTTCTAAACTTGACTTCTACCACCTAGATGGGCAAGGGCAGCAGACGTATTGGAGCACCAACACTTGCAAATTCCCCTTCCTGCCACACACTACCCTGATTTGGAACTATATCACTGTTCCTTCATTGTCAATGGGTTAATATATTGGTACTCCCTTCCCAACAACACTGAAGAGGTACCCAACCCACCCCCTCATTCATGGATTGCAGCTTAAGAAGGCTCACCGTCAAGGGCAATAAATGCTTGTTTATTGAGGTCCACATGCCAGAAAAGAAAACCACTTTGAATTTCCTTTAATATTTGGCATACAGCATTAGTAGTATTGCTTGTGGAGGTAGAACATCAGCTTGCCGAGTCAAAAAGCTATTTCTGTTTTGTAATTCTATGCCTAGATTATGCACACAACTTGTAGTGATGGACTTAAACCTAAAGTGGTGTGTTCAGTGAGGACAAACTGCTGCAAAAACCTCAAACTCTTCGGTCAGAAAATGAAACTACATTGTGCAAATTGTCAAAAGTCATTTTGTGGAGCGGAGACACATTGAAGCAAAGAGTCGAAAGTAGTGAATACTTTTGAAGATGCGGACCTTTGATTAACGAGCTTTCTTCTTGCACAGGTACAGACGAGTCTCCAGAGCCACTGCCTATCCCGACGTTTATGTTGGGTTATGAATGTGATTTTGTGGTGTTATCTCCATTTGCATTACCATACTGGGAGAAGCTCCTTCTGGAGCCATATGGATCGCAAAGAGATATTGGCTATGTTGTGGTGTGCCCAGAAAATGAAGCACTTTTAAATGGAGCAAGAAGTTTCTTTCGCGATCTCAGTGCAGTCTATGAGGTAAATCATGTTTGATTTATGTGACTATATCTTAAGTATCTTCAAAGCTAAACATTGCCAACTGGTATGACATTTTGATGTGCAACCTTGATGCAGAATTCTTGATGAGAATGAACAAAAATTGTTGTTTGAAATATAGTCCTGCAGACTTGGGCAGCACAGGCCCATCTCGAAATTGCTTCCTGATGGGATCATGAAAGTTGGGACCAAAGCAGCCTTGAACATTGCAGAGCAGCCGGTAAATGATTGGTTCTCTCAGCACTGTGTGAACGCTAGCAGTGAAGCATTTTCCAAACTGAAACTTTACGCTCAAGTGTGCAGACATGATCTGGGTAAGTGACTTGTGACAGCAGTTAAGGTAATGAAATATCACTTCGGGATAATTCAAAAGTGAACAAATTTCTTGATCACTGTATTGGTTAAAGTTTAAATTTGTCTTTGAGTAAAAGCAAAATATTGAAAATTTCAGGATTTTCACAGGTATGGCTGGTCATTTATTGTGAAAACATCACAATAGTATTGAATTTGCCACATGCTCTGTCTGTCTTGTCAGTTCTGTTTTATTTAATTGTGGAATGAGAATCTAACAGTGGTGCAATGTCTGTCCTATCCAGTCCTTACAATATGGATTGCCCAAGCATTTTCCTCCCTGCAAATAAGATACATTTCATCAGTCACAGTTGCCAGTGGCTGCACGCCATTATGCAGTGTTGTACAAAAGGAAGGCTTTAGAAAGCTTGGTTTCACGCTCCCATTTGCTTGCATGTGCTAATTGTTCCATCTCCGATTGTGAAAATGTCAATATATGCTGGAAATGGAAACAAAAAATTGCTGGGAATGCACAATGCTTTTATCGGTTTCTGTTTTTAAAAAAAAAAAAAAAAAATTAACATTTCAGGTTGAGGGTCTTGATCACAACTATCAAAAGGTCTTGGCCTGAAAATCTAATTTTTAGGGTAACGGAATCATACAGCGCGGAAATGGGCCCTTCGGCCCATCTTGTCCATGCCGACCAGATTTCCTGAACTGAACTAGTCCCACTTGCCTGCGTTTGGCCCATGTCCCTCTAAACCTTTCCTATCCATGTCCAAATGCTTTTTGAATGTATTTCTTTTCTACCAGTCTATTTTTCAAGACTGTGAATATGCTGTGTTTCCAGCAATTTTTGTTTTTAACTGAGAAATAGATGGCTTTGATAAATGCCTGAGAAATTTAAAGTTAATAATAACATATTTTTTAAAAAAAATTCCTCTTGTTTCAGGTCCGTACCTTGCTGGTCAAACATTGGACAGTTCATTACTCTCGCAGCCTAACCCCGTTTCCTCTTGCAGTCGATCCAGTACGTTACAAATTCCTGCACAAGTTTCAGCTGGGGGTTCATCTGCATCTTCCACCTGTGCTCCTGTACCATCAGGTACTTTAGCAAATGCTGCCATAACAGCCACAGTAGCCAGTAGTACTACTACAAATGTAGCCTCAGTACCTGTGAACCTGGCCGGCGTATCTTCTGCAGTAAAGCCGTCTTCCTCTTTTCCTCCATTTGCACATTTGAATAATTCCTCCAGTGTTGTTACTGCTCAGGGTTCAGCCTCCCAGCAGAGTAATGGTATCTCTGGTGAGTCAGCAGTTGGTGGAATGGGACAACAACATCAGGAACCTCCAGAGAGGTGAGATTGATGTATTTTGTGTGATGATCTATGTAATTGCAATGCATTTTATGTGTAAATGTTAACATCTAAAATCATATGCTGTTGTTAAAACATAGTTACTTCATTTGTGGTCATTGTTTCTGGATGCAAAAAACATTGTAAGGAGCATGGTTTCCATGATAATCTATATATAGAATAGTCAGTAGGCTTTTAAATTATAAATTACAGATATTGTCACACATACACTATATTTTCAGGTTTAACATCAGATAAAGGTTAATGGGAGGCGGCCCTTGAGCCTGTTTTTCCATTCAGTCAGATGATGGCTGATCTTGTACTAATATCCATTTACCCTTATGTCTCTTAGCTAGCACTAACCTGTCAATTTCAGATTTAAAATTATCTATTCAGATAGGAAATATTTATTACGCTCATTTCATTCTTAGTATTGCATCCTGGCTTGGATTTTAAGTTATGCCCTTGCTGTAACCTCCTTCACCAGCAGAAAAGATCTGCTTTGAATTCTCGTTATCAGCTCACTTATGACAACAAAAACTTGAATAAAGCCACTTGTTAACCTCCTGTGTTCCAGATGATGCAAGCCTAGTTTGTGAAATTTATATTCATAACTTTGGAGTTGGGGCAATATTCTAGTTAATCTGTGTTGCACTCCTGGTGCTTTTATATCCTTTCTAAGGTATGGGTGCCTAAAAAAAATTGAGTACTTCACATGTTGTTCCACCAGAGTTTGTTGTATACTGATGTACAGAACAAGGCCATTTTGCCTATCGGGTCCATTTTGGCTCTCTGCAGAACAAGCTAGACAGTCCCATTCTCTTATAATTCATTTAGCCCTGCAGGTTTATTTTCTTCAGGTGCCAGTTGTAAGGCAGTATTTTAAAAAAAAAAAAAAAAAAAAAGTTTCTGCATTTTTGATAGTGGACTGAAATAGGAAACCAAGGATTGTGGAAGGGATTGCTGCACGTTTTAAAATCAAGCTTCCAAAACTTTAGTGTAACTGCTGTTTACACTATTGCCTATTCAAGCAGTGAAAGTAGATTACTATAGAATGACTGGCCTCAGGAAATCTGTGCAGACTGAGATTTGGCTGGCAGCAGTTAACTAACAACTCCACAGACCAATGAGGAGGGCCTTCTGTCTGTCAATAAATGTGATTGCGTAGCTTGTGGATGTGAATGATATAGCAAGAAACCTTCAGACTTACGGAAGGGGAGTTTGGTGCCCTTTATTGCTGCTATAGAAAAACACCTAATGCATGATGATAACCAACTTATTTTCCCTCACCAGTTGCTGTAGGCAGTGGCTCTTAACCAATAAGTCAGAGACTTTATGAACCAGTTGCTCTGTGCCTGCTGTTTCAAAGTGAAAACATTTGGAGAAGATCAACGAGCAGTGTTTTCAAAAACAAATTGTTCATGGATTGTGGGTGTTGTTTGTGTTTATTGTCTGTTGCTAGTTGCCCTTGAGAAAGTGGTGATGAGCTGTTGTCTTGAACCATTGTACTGCAGATGAACTCACAGTGCCGTTATGGAGGGTGTTTCAGGATTTTGATGTGGTGACACTGAGGAATGGTGACATATTTCCAACTTTGGGATAGTGAGTGGTTTGGAGGGGAACTTGCAGGTTGTGTTCAAGTACCTGCTGCCCTTGTCCTTCTATATGGTAGTGGCCGTGGGTTTGGAAAATGCTGTCTAAGGAATCTTGATGAATTTCTGCAATGCATCTTGTCGGTGATGCACACTGCTGCTACTGAGTATTGGTGGTGGATAGAGTGGAAGTGATGCCACTCTTACAGATTGCTTTGTCCTGAATGGTATCGAACTTTGAGAGTTGCTGAAGGTGTACTTGTCCAAGTAAGTGGGGTTATTCCATCTGACTTGTACCCTGTGGACGATGGAAAGATTTTTGAGGATCAGAAAATGAGTTACTGAAGGAATCGTAGCCTCTGATCTCCTCTTGTAGCTGCAGTATATGGCTAGTCCAGTTTGGTTTCTGGTCAATGATAAGCCCAAGAAAATTGATAGTGATTTAATGATGGCGATACAACTGAATGTCAAAGGACAATGATTAGATTCTCTCTTGTTGGACATGGTCATAGCCTGGCATTTGTATGGTGATATGTTACTGTCACTTTTCAGCCCAAGGCTGGATATTGTCTGGGCCCTGCTGCATTTGGTCCTGGTCATGGTAATGGACGTGAACATGGACATCTGAGGAGCAAAATTATGCTGAATATTGTGCAATCATCCTAGCAAAGTCCTAGCAAGCCAAAAGTATCAACTCAACAAACCAGTGACGGGGACCATTGAACTGCCTTCCCAGAATTTTCCTCCATCCATAACTCCGTGTCTGTCTGTGTGTGTCTGTGTCTGTCTGTGTGTGTCTGTGTCTGTCTGTCTGTGGCATGAATTCATAAGGGGTTTAGAGCTTTAACCAGTAGAGTTACATGTTGACAGTTCATAGTTTACCTGTGGCTAGGACCTATTTATTTGCATTAAATAGAAATTCTTGTTAAGTATAGAAACCTAGCCTGTCCTTTCTTAATCTAGGCCTAAAGGATAAGTAAATTGGGGAATTTTGCGTACTTTGGTAAAATCTTTCACTTTTTGTGCCGACTTCAGGAGTACTGGGACTTGATTTCCAACACACTATTTCTCTTGGATGTGATCCAATCCAATTTCCTTTTGAAATCTTTGCTTCTATTCCAACCATCCTTGTGGGCAGAAAGTTCCAGTCATTATTGCTCGTTTTGATAATAAAAAGTTCTTCCTCACAATCCTACTTCACTGTTTGCTCAAAATCTTAAACCCGCATTCTTTTCTTGTGTTATCAGCTAAAGGGCACAGGTTTTCCTTGATTTACTCTATCCAGACTTGTCATAATCTTTTATACCGCTGTAAAATTACTCCTCAATCTCCTGTTTCAAGGAGAACAATCCAGTTTTTCCAACCTGTTCTTGTGACCAAAGTTCGTCATCCCAGGAAACATTCTTGTAAATGTCTTTTGAACTTTTTCACAGATCCTTGGTTCTTTCCAAAAGTGTAACTAGTTGCAGCGCTTCAGTTGGAACTGGATCAGAGGCATTTCTCTTGGGCCTTGTGGTATTTGCAGATATAACAGCAGTACTGTGAAATGAACTGCAGTAGTAATGCATCAAATCTTAAAAGGGCATTTCATAGATTCTGCTTTTGTTTTCCTGTGAATATTATATCTAATGTAGATCTCTCAGAATCCAGAGTGTTACAATTTATCACAGATTTAGGAAAATACATTTAAAAAATTACAAACTTTCTGGCTTGATCAGTTTATAAGAAGTTGTGTTTATGTTTGGGCCAGTATCACAAAAGAGCTACTTAAGCATTGGTCTTTTCAAAGTAATGCACTAAGTAAATAGCTAAACCTAATACTCCTCATTATTGGTTTGCAAGGTGGTCTGCTAAAAAGCAATAGATCAGCAGAGGTACTTGCGATACTGCCCTAGTAGTGGTGCTGTCCCAATCTGGTAATTATGAATCCCTAAATTGCCTTTCGTGGTGAGGGTTATCCATGGCGTTTAATCCTCTAGCTCACGCAAGAGGAATGAACCAACATCTTTTTAAATCCTTGTGAATTTGTTCTTTTCAATCCAAGCATGACCTCCAACCTGTGTTCCAGTGGGGTGAATTACAGAGACATTTTGGCTATAGGTGCTCTCTCTTTTTCTATCTCGAATCCTGACAGTCTTGCTTGTCAGAAAGTTTCAGGAAACCTTGGACTTTCACTCTATATATCAGTGGCAATGTGAATCACAAGGGCCTTGCATCCAGTATATGCCTAACATTCTCAACACTTTCCTAGTGCTCTGAAGACTTAATAATCTAACCACTGGAAACATAGATACTGCTACCGTTGTCTCCAAGTGTGAATCCCTTGCATCTTCCTTACAGTGATTAATCCAAGCCTACCTTTAATCTTTGATAACCACATCACACGGGCCTCTTGTTAGACAGGTCACCAAACAGGTCACGTCACTCCCTTCCTTCATCTTCATTAAAACAGTGGTCCAAAACAAACCAATCTTAAAGTCTTAAGTTTGTTGCAGTGTCATCTTAGGATAGTTTGTGTTATAAGCATATGCCCACAGTTGGATTGAGACTGCCCCAGTTAATTTGCCCGAGGATCTTTTCAGTCTGCTGTCTTCAGAAGACTCATCTTTTCATTATGGGCTAGATTTTCTTCAAAAAGATATTGGCTAATACTGTTCATTTTGGTGTTGCAAAAGTCCTGTTTTGTATTATTGCTGAAACACCTTAGATAATTATATGTAATCTTTGTTGTCCTATTTAATTTTTATACTTTATTTGTATTGTAGCACCATGGAAAGGGATAAAATTGGGGTCCCAACGGAGGGGGAGTCTCATGCCATCAATTATCCACCATCCATCGTTGTGTACATTGTGGATCCTTTTACTTACAATGCAGAGGATGAAAGGTCGTCATCTTCAAATGTTTGGACACTTGGGCTATTACGCTGCTACCTAGAGATGATTCATTTCTTACCACAGAACGTCAAGAATGCAATATCTGTGCAAGTGAGTGCACTTTTAAATGTTGGATGGTACAGTAAATAATTATAGAAGAGATGGTATTTTGTAACATGTGTTTTCTCAACTAGTACAAGTTGCCTTCATAAAAAATCTCTTGACTCGCTCGTTATAGCAAAGCATTGTTTGGAGGGCCATCTCATCCCATTTACTCTTATGTTCCCTTCTAGTAGTGCAAAACTACTGTGGCACAGTGGTTATCACTGCTGCCTCACAGCACCAGGGACCTGGGTTCGATTCCAGCCTCGGGTGACTGTCTGTGGAGTTTGCACATTCTCCCCGTGTCTGCGTGGGTTTCCTCCGGGTGTTCCGGTTTCCTCCCACAGTCCAAAGATGTGCAGGTTAGGTGGATTGGCCATGCTAAATTGCCCATAGTGTTCAGGGATGTGAAGATTAGGTAGGTTATAGAGGGATGGGTCTGGGTGGGATGCTCTGAGGTTCAGTATGGACTTGTTGGGCCGAAGGACCTGTTTCCACACTGTAGGGATTCTGAAAAAAAACAGAATTGGCAGTGATTTATGGACATAAAACCTCACCATCCCTCAACCAGAGTACGATAGTACCATGAAAAGCTTAGAAATGAATTTTTTTCCCCCCAGATCACTGTAAACTTGGAAAAAACTAACAAAAATTAATAACATGGTCTTCCATGTAGTAGGATGTAAAGGAAATGTATTGCTTTATTTTGTTAGGCAAAGCTTGAAGTTTGCATATGTAGAGTTTTTTTTTCAAAGCCTGTATTAATTTTACAAAAACATTACATAGTTATAGGCTTTTTTTTTAAAACTAACCTATCTTACAAACTGTACTATTATAATCATGTTGTTAGTGACGTGTTCTAAAAATTTCAAAAAAGTGCTGTGGGTTTTTTGTCCCCCCAGAGTAAATATTTTTAAATTAATTATACAGACTTGGAATAGCTTTTTTTAAATTGAAGCACTTTGATGTTGCTTGAGCTCAGCAGTTATTGCACTCTTGTCTCTTTGAGTGGGTTCACAACACACTTCAGCCTTTTCAAATTTGGCTTAAATAATCATATAATTCACTTAATGTTGGGGAAGGTGCCGTTAGTCAGATTATTTTACGCTTGCCCTGCTTAACATAAAACAGGCTGATTTTAATACATTCATATTCAAGTATTCTTAAAACATATTACTAGTGGTGTTGCCCATTCAATTTTACCCAAGCTTATCTACTTGCATCTTAAACTTTTTCTAATACTTCTGTCATTGTCTCTCCTCATTTTTTAAAATTATCATGCTAATCTGAGTCCCTTTAGTGTCGTCCATGCAATCTTCCAGTTTGTGTGAATTGTTTATACCTTTGTTCCTGCTACCCCATTGCATTTTTCTGTGGTGAACAATGCCTTAGAAAACGAGCTCATTCTTAAAAAAAAATGTAAATATCTTATATAAAATGCTATCATAATACTGTAACCAGGCATTATCTATTTAAATTACTCCTAGATTTGGAGTTGTTTAGTGAAGTTAAAATTATTGTCAAGGGGTCTGTATTTGGTTCAGCAGGAAATGTTTGCAGTGAGCCACTTGTTTGAACAGTGTTTTCTCAGCTTGTGCATACGTAATCTGTTTGTTTTGATCTTTAGTCCTCTGCGGTGCAGGATCTGAACAAAATAATGGATGTACATGTATGTGTAACTGAACTGTTTCCATGCCAGTACCAGCTGCTCTGAGGACACTGTGTTAGGCAGTCTGCATGTTTTTTCATACAGATATGGGCCAAGGCAGGTACCTGGTCACAATGTCAGTTAACGGCAAAAACAAAATATCCCTTTGCATTTCAAGTTATGTTGATTCTTGTTTTTGTTAGTTCAGTTGCTAAACGTTTGATCAGGACTCTATGATTTTGTTCAGTTTCAATTAAATTCTTAACATCAATTATCACTTGAGTAGATCCTTTCATTTGGGAGGAGGGGTGTGATTGATGAAATAGGAAGGTGTAAATGGAAGTATTGTGTTAAAATGTTCTGCACTTAAATAATGCTGCTGCATCGTTGTTGTATGTAGCGCAAGTGACTTTTGCCCTAAAACACTTTGTTAGATTCAGTTAAGTAAATGGGTGTTAAAACTATTTAAAAAGTTATGCTTTCTTAGAGGCAAGTCTTTTTGTGCTGCTGCTAATTCCTAGTGGCTACTTTAGGACTAGTGAAGAGGCCAAGAGTGTTGCTTCTTTGGGTCAGAAGATAGTATCGTATATTGCAACTGAGCAAAAGCATTGTAAAGGAACATGAAAATAGTATTCATTTTTCACAAAAGCAATACATCACTTTGCTGTAAACAGCTCCATTGGAAGTGAAGGAGATGTTTGACCTCGAGTTTTCCGTATTGAGTAGATCATTTTCAGTAGAGCAGCTGAAGTGAAAATGGGGGCAACACGATAAAAGGATTTTGAAATGCAAAGGAATATTTTGTTTTTGCCGTTAACTGACATTGTGACCAGGTACCTGCCTTGGCCCATATCTGTATGAAAAAAACATGCAGAGTGCCTCACACAGTGCTTCCTGGACTTTTTCCCAATAGGATCCCATTTTAATCCCTCAGTCTTTGTGCAGGCCCAGATGATTTTTGGGGTTTGAGAGCTGAAGGGGAGGGATGGAGGTTTAGTGTCTGTCACTTCTTTAGCAAGGGAAGAATGGCACCAAAATAAAACGCAACAACACGACAGTACCTTTCAGTATTTAAAGTCTACACTAAGTTTAAAGTAGGAAATTGTATTTTTAAAAATCTGTAACTATTTTGGTGAAAATCTTGTGCTGTTTGCCAGGCCTAATGAGCCATGAAGCAGGCATGTTGTGGCACAGTCTCTAAAAGTCTGGCAGTGTGGTTTATTGTGCACCTCTGATCTCCAGTTGACATCTAAACTTTGATTAGCGTTGAGATTTGATGCAAACCACTGTGATCAACCAAAAAATGGGTGTGCTCAAGGCAGAGATGATGGCCTAGTGGTCTTATTCATGGGGATAGTAATTCACACACTGAGGTAATACTGTGTTTGAATTCTGTCATGACAGACAGTGGAATTTGAATTCAATCTGGAATTAGAACTCTAATGATGACCATGAATTCATTGTTGATAGTTGCAAAAATCTACTTGGTTACTGTTGCCCTTTAGGAAGGGAAATTGCTGGCCTGCATGTGACTCCAGATTCACGGCAATGCAGTTGACTCTTAAATATCCTCTGAAATTGCTTAGCAAGCCTCGGAGTCCTCAACATTGACTGTGGACTCATGGCATCAGGTCAGACATGGGTAATGAAATCACCTGCTGGTCTGTTTAGATTTCCAGAATGCCTTTGACAAGATGCAACATAGGAAGCTGCTAAATAAGATTGGAGCGCATGGTGTCAAGGGCAGAGTACTGGTATGGATAGAAGATTGGCTGACTGGCAGAAAGCAGAGAGTTTGCAGCCAATGACTAGTAGATTTCTGCAAGAGTCAGTAATGAGACTACAACTATTCATGACATTCTGTAATGATCTGGGGGGGAAGGAACTGAGGGTATTGCTGCTAAGTTTGCACGTGACACCAAAATAAGTCTATTTGGGACAGCCTGCTTCCACACTGCAGGGATTCTGCGATTCTATGATTCGAAGTGGAGGGACAGATAATATTGAGGAAGCAAAGGCTGCAGGAAGATTTGGACAGGCTAGAAGAGGGAATAAAGAAGTAGCAGATGGAAAACAGTGTGTCAATGTGACATTTAGTACTTCAGTAGGCAGAAAGAGGTATAGACTATTTTCTAAATGGGGAAAGGCTTCATAAATCTGAAGCACAAAGAAACTTGAGTCCTAGATTCTCTTAAGGTTAACATCAGGTTTGAGTTGGCAGTTAAGAAAGCAAGTGCAGTGTTGGCATTCGTTTCAAGAGGGCTAGAATACAAGGGCTGAGATGTACTGCTGAGGCTGTATAAGGCTTTTGTTAGATCCCATTTGGAATTCTCTGAGCAGTTTTGAGCCCCATATTTAAGGATGTGCTGGCCTTGGAGAGGGTCCAGAGGAAGTTTCCAAGAATGATCCCGGGGATGAAGAGCTTGACGTTTGAGGAATGGTTGAGGACTCTGGGTCTGTACTCAATGGAGTTTAGAAGGGAGGGGATCTGGTTGAAACATACAGAATACTGAAGCCTGGATAGGGTGAATGTGGAGAAGATGTTACCACTTGTAGGAGAAACTAAGACCCAAGGGCACAGCCTCCTGAGGAAGGGACGACCCTTTAGAACTGGGATGAGGAAGATTTTTTTTTTCCCACAGCCAGAGGGTGGTTAATCTGTGGAACTCATTGCTGCAGAGGGCTGAGGAGGCCAAGGCATCGAGTGTATTTAAGACAGATAGATAGGTTCTTGATTGGTAAGGGGATCAGGGGTTACGGGGCGAAGGCAGGAGAACAGGGTTGAGGAACATACCAGCCAAGATTGAACGGCAGAGCAGACTCAACGGGCAGAATGGCCGAATTCTGCTCCCATATTTCAGTATTAAGATTACCACATCATTGTGTTGAGTGGCACTGTCATTGTGCTAAATGGGATAGAACAGATCCAGCAACTCAAGGCTGTGGCCATCAGCAGCCAAATTGTATCAACCCTGGTTTAATGGAGAATGTAGGAGGGCATGTCAGGAGCAGCACCAGGTATACCTAAAAATGAGGTTTTTAGTTTCTAGTGAAGCTACAAAACAGGACTATTTGCATGCCAAACATCATAAACAGCAAGTGATAAAGCTAAGCAATTCCACAACCAGCAGCTCAGATCTAAGCTCTGTAGTGGGGTCACATCTAGTTGTGAATGGTAGTGGACAATTAAATGACTCACTGGAGGAGATTGGAAACAACCCTATCTTCAATAATGGGGGAGCCCAGCAGGTTAGTGCAAAGGGTAAGTTTGAAGCATTTGCAACAATCTTCAGTGAGAAGTGCTGAGGGGATGAGCTATCTCTGCCTTTTCTGGCTCACAGGTGCCAGACTTCAGCCAATTTGTTTCACTCCACATGATATCAAGAAGTGGTTGAAGGCAATGGGCCCTGACAATTTTCTGGCAATAGTACTGAAGATTTGTGCTCCAGAACATATTGTGCCCCTAGCCAGGCTGTTCCAGTGCAGCTACAAAACTGACATCTCCTGACTGTGTAGAAATTTGCCTAGGTACACATAAAGCAGGACAGTCCAACTCAGCCAGTTACTGCCCCATCAGTCTTCTCTCAGTCATCAATAAAATGATGGAAGAAGTCATTAACAGTGCTATCATGCTGCACTTAAATAGCAAAAAGATATTGACTGACATTCCATTTAGATTCCACCTTGACCACTCAGCTCCTGACCTCATTACTGTGTTGGTCCAAACATGGACAAAAGAGCTGAATTCCAGAGGTGAGGTGCCAAGGACTGACTGGCTACCCTTGATATCAAGGCTGCATTTGACCAAGTGTGGCATCAAGTAACTCGATCAAAACTGGAGTTGATGGGAATTAGGGGTAAAACTCTCCACTGATTGGAGTAATACTTGGCATAAGAGAAGATGGTTTTGAGGTCCATCACCCTAGCTCCAGGACATCTCTGCAGAAGTTCCTCAGGATAATGTCTTTAGCTGCTTCATTAATGACCTTTGCTCCATCATATGGTCAGAAATGGGGATGTTGGCTGATTACTGCACAATGTTAATCAACATGCATGAATCCTTGGGTGCTTTTCAGGTGTAGTCCATTTCTAAATGCAGCAAGACCTGGACAATGTCCAGTACAGGACTGAAAAGTGGAAAGTAACATTAGTGCTGCACAAGTGTCAGGCATTGACCATTTTCAGCAAGAGGGAATCTAACTATTATTCTTTGATATTCATTTATATCGCTATCACTGAATTATGTACTATCAAAATCATCAGGCTTACCATTGACAGAAACTGAACTGGACTAGGCACAAAATACTGTGCCAATAAGAGCAGGTCAGAGGCTAGAAATACTGCAGTGAGTAACTCACCTCCTGACTCCCCAAAGCCTGTCCCCCACCTTCAAAGCATAAGTCAGGAGTTTGATGGAATGCTCCCAGTTTACTTGGATGAGTGCAGCTCCAAAAGCATTCAGGAACCTTGACATCATTCAGGACAGAGCAACCGGTTTGAAACCATACCAACAAACATCCACTCCTCCCACTATTGATGCTCAGGTAGAAGCAGTGTGTACTTGCTACAAGAAGCACTGCAGAAATTCAACAAAGCTCCTTAGGCAGCATGGACATGGGAATATCACCACCTGCATGTTCCCCTTTAAACCACTCACCATCCTTCCTTGAAAATGTGTCACTGGGTCAAAATCCTGATATCCCTCCCTAAAGGCACTGTGAGACTACCTACAGAATATGGACTGCAGCGGTTCAGGAAGGCATCACCCCACCAACACCTCAAGAGCAATTAGGGATGGGAAATAAATGCGGGCTCAGCCAGTGATACACATATCCCTTGAATAAGTGTATAACTCAAAAAGACTTAAGGCTACCAGTGTGAAACTTGATCTTTACTACCACCAAACTGTGAGCATTGTGGTTCTATATTCCAGAACCTTGGAGTCAGTTCCAGACATTCAAAACAGAGTATCTGTACCATGGCCTGTATTATAACCTGGGAGTTGTGACCTCAAAATTTCATCTGATGACCCCACTGGGATTATGACCTATAATTTGGAATCCCTAGCCTAGTCATTCTGAATTGTCCTGTTCTTGTTTTTTTTATTATTGTTAAACTGCATATTCCACAGATGTACGCCATCATTTTAAGCTGTCTTGATTTCCATTTAATCCTTTTGAATTATTCTAGCTTTTTACCCTTCATATAAATGGTTAGTGATGTTATCCCTGATAGTTGCGTAACAGCCTTTATTTACACCTAATTAATGCAAACAAGTTTTCACATACCACTTATGAACTTTTTCCCTACCAAAGGCCTATGCCAACATGTATTGATTATAGTACCTAATAAATGCCCAGTATCCAAAGTTCATAATACAAGAAAGAATGTATCTAATCCATATTTCTTGTATTATTTGCCTTGTTGAAACCCATTTGCTGCAGTTTTAGCTGTTTTAGTCTATCTATGTCAGTGTAGTTTTATGCTTCCATCTACATTGTTTTCTATATTGCACTAGTCTTCGCGACTTTGGTCACCTTGGACATTGGCTGTCTGTTACCTAAGATACTTGTACATATGGTGAATAATTAAGTCTCCAAAATATTATCTTGGGCCAGTACTAGTCAGAGCATGGAAGGAAATAGAAAGATGAATTATGCTGTCTGATTCTGATTTGTTATCTCATTGGTGAGGCATATATGAGGAATTGGATTGGCTTTGGCCTCTATCCTTTCCTCCCTCTGCTGCTCCTTATGGTCCCAATTATTATAGTAAAACAATCTATTGAAATTGTTTCTCCATTTATAACCTTCAAAAACAATGTTTTGATCAAGAAATTAAAAGGTGTCAATCCTGTGGAACTACATTTCAGCATAAGCACTTGTTATTTGTCTCATCATTGTTAGTAATGATCTAAGGCATTACAGAGTAGCACGAAGATGATAAAAAAATAAGAAGGAATGACTTGAATTTCTGAAGTGCTGTTTACAACCTCGGGGCATCTGAATGCCAGCAAAGTGCTTTTGAAATGTAGTCACTGTTGTAATATGGAAAACAGTTTCAAGTTTCTCTAAGGCAGCCCATCTTACTTTTCTCTTACATTATTCTTGCATGCTGCAGGAGTAATGTTGGAAACAGCTAGCTGTCCTAATTTAAACATTCAGCTAGGGCATAGTGTACATTATTGAGATTGGAGCTTTTCAGTAGAGTTAGATTTTATGAGGCCTACTTGTTTAAGAATTTTAACAAACTGAGCCTAGGTTCACTTACAGTTTTTATTTATGTTATCTTCGCAGATTGTTCCATGTCAGTATCTGTTACAGCCTGTGAAAAATGATGATCGGCATCTGTACTCCCAGCACCTTAAATCTTTGGCGTTTTCTGTGTTCACTCAATGCCGGAGATCATTACCACCCTCCACCTATGTAAAAGCACTGACTGGCTTTGGCCCAGGATTGGCCTTAGACAGCACCTTAAAGAGTCCAGATGTGAGTAAAAACTCTTCATTTCACAGCCTTCACATACCAAAGCAGCCTGGTCCACTTCTGATTGGTGGCAGTTCTCCTGAAGACAAAGTGGCCAATATGAATATGTCTTTTGCTTTTCCCCAGCTCAAGCATTGAATTTGTATTTTTTCCTCAGTTTATTTTGTGCTTGTGTAGTTTCTCTTGAGCCAAAGTTTTTAATGCCCTGATAAAACTTCTGCTTGACATTTTTGGAGTGTTCTGTTTCAAAAGGGGAATTTCAACAGGCAATGTCTTTTTATGCTATGATTTCTTATCCAGTTTGGGTGTAGAATATGACTACAAGATTTGAAATGCATCAAAGGGGTAAAGATTGCAATTGGATGTAAAAGATAGGAATAAAATATGAATGAGAGGTTTTTCATTAAATACTTGTACTTCCCTTGGTATTTTATACCCGTAGTGGGAGACTACTTTGGTTAATCTGTATGTCTGTGATAAAGGAAACCCTCTTTAAAAACTGGGAGTACAAAGTAAAGTTTGTAGTTTTTGATCTGGAGTATTTTGACACTGAATTTCAGTTAGAATTGAACACAGTGGGAATCTTGCTAATGTTGGCTATGCATGTGTATCTGTAGGTAACAAAAGCACAGATAATGGCTATCTGCTGGTATTATGCCAAACTAGAGACTGGAGCATTGAGACCAAATCAGCAATGCATGCCACCTGTTCAACTGGAAATTGGTCTCAGTTTACGTCCCACTGGTTAGGACAGTTGCAGTATGATATTTTTACCCATTAGAGGCTGATGGACTGAAGAAACATTGGCATTATCTCAGACTAGGTCATTTTCACTGAGGAGGCTGTGGTGCTATGCTGCAGCTCAGGAATGTTTTTGATGGCACGATGCTGTACCTTTCAATTCAACTGGATACCCAGTACCATAATGTTTTAGTATTGTACTATATCTTGTAATTAAGATGATAATTCTTAATATGTAATAGCCCTACGCTTAAAAAAAAAAGTCCTCCGATGCAATTTTTATTCCATTTCCACCCCATTAAAAGGTTAGGAAGTGAAATAACCCTTGAGAAATCTAAGGGTCTTAAACTCCCTGCTGTGCTACAATACCACACTAGGAAATGCATTTACTCATTGGTCTATTTATCATGTTGAAATATTTAAAATATGACCTAATTCAGAATCTACCTTTTATCTTTTTGCTGCAGAGACCAGAGCATTTGCGGATTTACAGCCCGCCGTTTATCTTGGCTCCAGTGAAGGATAAGCAGACTGAGCTGGGAGAGACATTTGGAGAGGCGAGCCAGAAATACAATGTTCTTTTTGTTGGCTATTGCTTGTCACGTGATCAGAGGTGGTTGCTTGGAACATGTACGGATCTCTATGGAGAGATGCTGGAAACCTGCATCATTAATATAGATGTCCCAAACAGGTGTGTTGACAACAGAAAAATATCAAAATGTAGACTAACTCACCAGTCCAGAAAAAAAGTTTGTCTTAAAATTGCTAGCAGCTGAGACTGGCATTAGTTTACAGGAAAGATCAGATCATTCTAGTTAGTCTGTAAGGTGCATAGTGTCTATGTTCACATGAAAAAAAATTATGTAAACTTGCTTGCACATTGAAATAAATAAAGCAACCATTAGAGAGACATACAGTGGTAATACGTGGAGAATCATGTGAAAGATACTTAGTTCAGAAGAGGCTGAACAAAATATTGTAGATAATGGCTTAGCTGTAAACACCAAAAAGACAAATTGATAACTAGTAGGAATACCTTAGAAGAAAATAATGAAGATTGAATTAAATAGTGTCACTTTGGATCAAGTTGATAAATTGGTCAATTTAAGATAAATGATGACAAGATCATAGCTGCTAGAAGGATGGAGATGGCCAGAACTAATTTTGTGAAGATGAAGAATGTTAAACAACAAGAAAGCGCAAGTTAAATTCAGTTTTCCTGTATGCCTCAAACTTGGGCAACAAATAAATTCTGTGAAGGGAAGTAGAGTCTTTTGAAATGCTGAAAGGATGTATGGGACAAGCAGTAAATGCTGCCTGGCCAGCCAGTGACTCTACCCCCTATGAATAAAAAAACAATTTCCACATATGGACCATAGGAGAAATGAAGCGGTACTTGAGATTGCAAGAGTGAAAAGAATTCTTAAAAAGAGAAGGCATACAGAAAGGGAAATACCGGTATTTTCAGCCCTTTGATCAGAGCTGAAAAGCTGCGGAGTTCTAGAGAGGACAGCAGAGGACTCAACCCAGGTATGGATGACAGATGTGATGAGTCAATCCATTGTCTGTAGCTAGAGGTGATCCAACCTTTTTTATCTTCAAACCCACACAGCTGTCTATACATGCTTCCTCAGACCCACCAACAGAAATTTATCATTGTTCCAGCTTGTTTTTGCCCTATGGAACTTATTCTTCCTATTTCAATGTATTTTTTTTTCTGCTTGTTCAGTCCATTTCCATCTACATCCATGTTTCTTATGATGTCCATTGCTACCAGTACGGTTAGGTTTTCTGCCTAAAAGGATCTCCTTTTCATCGTTGATATCCAATTGCTCCTGAACTCCACACCCAACCAGCACACCCTGAGGGACTCAATTTCTTCCGTCATTGAGGTCCAACACATTAAACAATTTCTCCTTTGATTCCACTCACTTCCTATAGACTGAAGATGTTGCTGTGGGAATGTGTATAATTTGCTGTAGCTATCCAAACCTTTTAATGATTATTGCACTTGTCCTTTGCTCAAATGCAGATCTTGGCTCATTATTGGCTGATACTTCTTCCTATACTGTTTCTTGGCAGCTTTGTCGAGGTAGTTTGGTTTTTCCTTCCACAGTCAGGAGCAGGGAGAGGAGGCGGAAAGCAATTGTAACTTAGCTGGAAGAAGAATCAAACTCCAACTGAGCTAACTGCTTCTCTGTTCATGGCATATATGGAACATATTTTCTTTGTTCCTGTTCTCTTTGAGCCGTCTTCCTCGCTTTATTTTTCGTACATTGACTGTCACGGTTGGGCTTGCTCTAAACTAGGAAATTTGATCAACTTTAATCCAATTTCAAGACATCCCTCATTTTCGTGTGATCTCCATGTTCAGCTCTTCCCTTCAGCTTCTGTTTCTGGAAATGATCTGTTGGTCAGTTTGCGCTGTAAGCCCACTGACTGTTGTAGCCACAACTGCATTTCCTTCTGCTTTGCTTCCTCAAAGGACCCTTTTGTTCTTCCCATGTCTGTTTGGTTTCAAAACTTCTATTCCTCCCAGAACCAGATCAGGGATTTTCACATCCTGACTTTACATTTCACCGGCTACTAAGTTCAGCAGATCATTCCACAGTGTGGTGGCATCACCAAACCTATCTTCTCTTTCAGTATTCCTGAAGGACCATTTCCTCAGTGACACACTGGTTCGTTTCTCAACCAACCCCTTCCCTTCACCTGGCATGGTTCTCATGGAAGCACAGAAGATTCAGCACCTGCCCTTGGTTTTTCCTTTCTTCACACTGTCCAGATTCTAAAATGCTTCTGGAGGAAGCAACATTTTACTTATGCTTCCATCAATTTAGCATACTGTGTTCATGGTGTGGTTGCATTCCCGAATGTAGTTTGGATTGCTGCCTTACAGAACACCTCTGCAAATGCAACCCTGGCCTTCTGATTTAAGGCTATTTTAAATCTGTTCCTGCTATCCCCCAACTCTGACATCTCTGTTCTTTGCCACTTACATTGTACCAGTAACATGTAACATAATCTCTAGAAGCAGCAACTCATCTTCTGATTAAGTATTTTGCAGCTAAGATCGACCATTTCAGATTGTGATGTAGGCTCACAGTATATTACCATTATTTGGAAACGTTTGTTCTGAAGTAGAGGCAAAAATGGATTTTAGTTTACAGTGCTGTGAAGTCTTGTTTAATTTTATTTTGCAAGATCAAAGTAATTTTGAACAATAAGGTTGAAGCAACATTTCAAAGAATCAGTTGATTTTAGATAAATGACTAGCAATACCACCATTCCTGAAAAATCATTGCTTACAAAAACAAAGTTGCTGGAAGAGCTCAGCAGTCTGTGTTCTGAGGAAGGGTCACTGGACCCGAAACGTTAACTCTGATTTTTTTTCTTCACAGATGCTGCCAGACCTGCTGAGCAGGAACTTTGTTTTTGTTACAGCATTGGCAGTTCTTTCAGTTTTTAAATCATTCTTAAGCTGTTTGCTGACTTGAATTTTACAACTGAAAGAGAAAGATAAGCAGGTTGATTCCGAAAGAAGAGGTCTAAGGCAGCAAAAGTTGCTTGTACCAGTCTCCAAAACAGTCAGGGAGAGGGCTGAGAGAAGCCCTGATTTGCATAGAGGAAATATCCAAAAGAAGGTGGCTGTGGAGTTCTGAAGAGAAGAAGACATCCTGCAAGGCTGCTGAAGCAAAGAATTTTAAGGAAGCCACATTAAGTAGTACCAGTGAGTTGGGTTAGTAGTTTGTTTATAGGCTTCGGGGGAAGAGAGATTAATTGAAGAAAATTGCAGCAAGTTAATATAAAACATAGAAACTAGGAGCAGGAACTAGGGAAGGAAATGTGCTGAAAAGAAAATCAATAACAGTGGTGCCAGCGAACAAGGAGCTTTAGCATAGAGATAGGAGTGATCCTTTACTGAGGTTTATGTATCTGTAAGGTTATTGTTGGGATAAAGGGGTTGAAACTTGCTTTCTGATATTTGTAATGAATTTTTTAAGAGAATTCTTGAATAGTGTACTGTGGTTCATGTTTTCTTTTGTATAATAAACATTGATATTCTCTTGTTTAAAAACACATTTGTAACCTGTAATGACTATGGTCGGTGACTGACCTTCTCATTAAAGTAAAAGAAAAAGAACTTGTGGTCTGTCAAGCCATAACCATCAGCTGAGATCGTAACCTCTGCCCCCATGTTTTTGGACTACAGCAACTGGAAATAATTCTGTTATGCCTGTACCGCCTGTAAACCCGTCTCTAGTTTACTCGCGAGTTCCGTTATCATCATCATTTACTTTGCATCACCATCCTTTTGTCATTTAACTTCTCTTGCCTTCCACCCCATCATAGACCTTCCCTTTTGTACTGTCACCACCTGCCCTTCCTGTTGGCTCTAACTTTTTCTTGTTCTGAAGAGTGATCATTAACTTGAAATTTTAATACTGTTTCTATCTCTGTGCAGGTTACTTAAATTGATGAATGTTTCTTGAATTATCTATTCTTACTAAAATGGTGATTTTTATTTGATCTGACAGGGCTCGCAGGCGGAAAGGTTCACCCCGGAGAATGGGTCTGCAAAAACTCTGGGATTGGTGTTTGGGCATCATGCAGATGACGTCACTACCCTGGAGGGTTGTTGTTGGGCGTCTGGGGAGGATAGGACATGGAGAATTAAAAGGTAAAACAAATGAACATCCAACAGCATCTTATAAACTGGTACACTGCACATTTAGTTAACTCTTTTTTGGTGTGTTGCTGGAAAATCTTTCTTTAGCTATTAGTTCCAGATGTGAGTTATGCTTAGTATCGATTGTTTTCACAAGGCATATATTAAAGAACAATTTTACCAGACCTGTACTACTCACTCACTCAATTGGATGATATGCTATTTTGTAAGAAGAATGTTGATTCATAACATACAACATATTTTTCCACTATGAGAGAGGGGTTTGGTCTAATCCTGAGTTCAGTCATTGGTAGGAGAACTGTGCATTATTGCAAAATGTTTGAAAATTTTAGGCTGTATTATAGTATTCTATTTTAAGATTTTTATGTCTCTAAGAATGTAACATACACGCCATCTTTTGCCACTGATTTTGTTTCTCTTTGCTATAACTGTATCGTGGACTATCTGGGTAATTTAAGGGAGACTTGCTACATGAAAATGTTAGTTTGTGTTATCTTTGCCAGTTTACTATAAAGTATAGGTTTGTGCTTGAAACACCATGCATTGTAGGCCACAATGTAGATATTTTTAATCACCCTATTCAGATGTTGTTGTGACACCTCTCTGGAGCACGTTGGACATCGATCCACGCTTCCTACCGCAATGCCACAAGAGCCCTTGAGGCCACCATTGTACCCCTTCTCTTTCATGTTAACTCCTGGCAGATACTGGTAGACCTTATTAAATGCTTGAACTTCTCAGGTTAGAGGGCAGAGTCCAACCTTCTTGCAGCCTGATTTCTGGAAATGCGTTTTCTAATGCAATCATCATTCCATTCATTTGATAGTGATCAGGAGCAGGAGCTCAGATTTTTTTTTATTTTCTTTCTTCAGTGCAACAAATACCCTTTTGGCAACATAATAGAATGACGGAGATGGCCAGAAGTAATTTTGCAACAATGAAGGGTGTTAACAAGAAGAAAGCTCATGTTTATATCCAGTTTTCTTGTATGCCTCGAACTTGGATAACAAATAAAGTCTGTGAAAGAAAGTAGTCTTTTGAAATGCTGATGCCAAGATGTATGGGACAGGCGATAAATGCTGGCCAGCCAGTGACACCCACGTCCCACGAATGAATTTTAAAAAAGTAACTGAAATCAGCTGACTGGGAGTCAATTGGATGTTGTGTGTGTGCGTATATATTATATGTGTATATATATGTAACCTAGAAATTTGGGAGTATTAACTGCTTAATCCTTGGAGCATTTATTTTTTCCGGTTTAGTGGAGACTTTAGTTCATGAAGCTAAGGTTAACAATCGTATTAATATAGCAGCAATGGGTGCCATGCAAATGTTCAACTTTTGTGACTTTAAAAGTAACTTCTAGCCTGCTGCATTATACTGGGCAGCACATCCATCTAATAAAGCTGTTCAGAAAATGCTTTAATCTTCAGTGTATAATTGTGTTGCTGATTTTGTCTCACTAATCTTTTATGTTTTGCAGACTGGAGTTGTTTGCTTGGTCGTCGCACTTTGCAGTCCCTTAGCCGGCACCTGAAGGACACTTGCAGAATGTGTGGTATTTCTGCAGCTGATTCTCCAAGTATCCTTAGTGCTTGTTTGGTTGCTATGGAACCACAAGGATCATTTGTGATAATGCCTGGTAAGAATAGTTTATGGAATGTACAGTTTGTCAGTGATAAGTTTCAATTTGTAAGGGATGCATCATGTATTTATGAGATGATCTAGTATTACAACTTGCTAAAGAAAATGAGCTGGACCTGTGTTCTATTTGGACATTTCAACTCTCCATTTGAACAGTGGCTCTTGGTGACAGAACATGTGATGTGCAAATTTAATAGTTTAACACCTTTTCTGATGGATGATTTTCAGATTGGGAGCTGTCCTTAAAGGGTCTGTTTTGGATCCGTTGATCTTTTGATTTATTTATTGTCATGTGTACTTTGTTACAAAATACAGTGAAAATTATTGTATAGTGTCGCCCCTCTCAAGTGCTAGCTTAAAACACAGAAAAATAAATAAAGTTCAACTTTATAGTCCTCCTTGTTAATTGCTCAGCCATGGGCCTGAAACGGCCAGCATGAGTCCCCTTTCCGTGCTGCCAGAGCAAGAGTTGCAACTTTTAAATTGTTATAGATTACCCAGACTTGGGTTTAGGGAACAGTACTAAAACATTTGTAATTGTAAATTTGGTGTAGGAAATTGTCTACATCTATCTGTATCACGATGGATCGTAAAATGGGCAGAGGTATGGCAGGGAAATCAGTATGGAGAAGTTATGCATTCATGCACTTTGGAAGGACTATTATGAAATGGCAGTATGCTATAAATGGCACAATTTTGAAAGGTTGTAGATCAGCAGAGAAGACATAGGTTCAATACAAGACTTTAGAAGTAGCAGAGAATGTTGATAAAGTGGTTTTAAAAGAAAATGGGTTACTTAGGCTTATCAATAGAGGCATAGAATATAATACTGCTTGGACTGCCATTAACGTGGCAATACAGTATTTATTGACATGGCCCAACAGTACCTTCTCAGGACAGCTAACAATGGGTGTTAATTGTAGCTTTGCCATCATCACCTCAATCTCAATGAAGAACAAAGAAATAGGGAGCAGTTTGGTGCATTCAAGGCCAGATATTAAAAGTGAAATGGGAAGAAGGCTTTATGATTAAACATATTTATACTTAACTGGGGCATCATACTAGTACATTTTGGTTGCGCTGGTGTTTTACTAAGTCTTGACTTCTCCTTTCAGTGTTATGATGAGAAGGTAACCAGAAAATTAAATCCCTATTTATTGCCTATATAGCCATTTAGGTTCTACCAGCAGCAAGAACTTTATTGGAGGGAGTACTGTTACAAAAATGAGATGATGTTATTGAGGGTAAAGATGCCTAAGCTCTCCAAAGTAGGCTGTTTGTTTACTACCGACCTCAATGTTTAATAGTTCTTTCCATGTAATTCTGTGTATGTTTGGTGATATCTGCTATTAGATTAATCAGTTTACATACCTAAAAAGTTGATCTCTCTCTCAACCTGTATACAAGACCTTCACTCCAAATTTGAAGATCCCAACAAATTCTCAAAAGTTAGGAGTGTTACTTTGTTAACTAGGCATGCTGATAATCTGTGTTACGTTATTGGTTAGAAGTGTTTTTCCTATATGAAGGATTGACTATATAGATAGAAAATGTTCTGTGTATTTTTGTTGTATAAACCTGTAATGTAAAATGCGGACATATTGTGGAATGGAACTCGAGCAACATTGGATGACAGGTCACTGTTGCTGGCTTCATATTTAGAGATACGGGGCATGGAACTGAAAGAGCTCAGGCAATGGGGTCATTATTATGTATAACAAAAACAAATACATTTGAGAAATGCTAGCATTATAGAGTGCCCTATTATGTTGTCTAAATACCTGAAGAGTGCTTCACAAATTAGTTTATGAAGTGCTGTTACTTTTGATGGAAGCAGTGACTTGAATGTCATCTTTTTCGTGGTTGAGGGAGAAATGTTAGGCAGGATGGTGGGAGAACTACATTTTTTTAAATAGTGCCACAGATTCTTTAGCATTGAAAAATTGTTGCCTTTGAATAGCAGAATAAGTGCATAAATTGGAACGTGTTAAATCTTTCTAGCTTTGGTAATTAACATCAGGGGTTCAGAGAATATTTCAACTCTTAATGAAGAATGGCCGTTGCAGATCTCTCCAAGCTATCAGCAAATCATATTTTGCAATTTTTTCCCCCAAAGCTGTGTGCTGTGTGAACCATGTGAGCCAATTAGCTCCTTCAAAGAATGCAGGTTCTTTTGAACTGGGTGCTTACATTCTGAAGTCATTGGAAAGAAGCTTTCTTTTCATACATTTACTCATTTGGTTTATTGTTGAGTAGTTAACAGAAAATCTTACTTTGAAATGTTGGTTTAAGACAAAACTTTCTTTTAAATCTTGCTGCAGATTCTGTGTCTGTTGGATCAGTGTTTGGTCGTGGCACATCACTCAACATGCAGACGTCGCAGCTGAGCACACCACAGGATACATCATGCACTCACATCCTGGTGTTTCCTACCTCTGCAATGGTGCAGGTGCCAACTGGGAGCTATGAAATAAACGTTGGTTAGTCATGTGTGTTGTCTATTGCCCTGGTATCAGTTGGATTCTTAACAGATGATGGGTTTTCAGTGTTTGAATTGGGGTGTAATCTTTTATTATTCTGTTTGAATTGTTGATTTATGGACTGTTCTCTAGCCCTGTCTAATGGTTGGTGGCTCAGCTGGTGCACCAATTCCTAATTCACCGATAAGTAGCTGATTATGGATTTAATTTGTTTCGTTTTGAATGGTTAGATTGATTAGTCCTGAAGCAGAAACCTCCTTCATGGCCTTTTCGATGTATGTTTTTTATTGATTGCTGCAATGGCTGCACAAGTTGATCAAATAACTTGCTCAGTTCTTCAGAGCAAGGAAGGCTCCAGGTTCAGTGTCTGATGCTTGCTAGCTTATTGCGGCTGTAATAATGGTAGGGGTGCTACATTTGGCTTCAATACTTCATTGTTTCTGGTGGATAGAAAACCAGAACTACATTTGGATTTGATGGCCCTGGGTTGTGAAGGAAGTTCAGCGAGGTTTCTTGCTTTGTGAATGCCAGGAGAAATGCACATATGAATACTTGGAGCAAATTATTTTCTGCTGTATTCGGTTGAAGTGTAAACTGATGGTCGCTCAAGGTGCGATATCACATTAGGAATGTCACCAAAACTCTCTGGTAGGTGATTTAAAAAATTAAGGCGAAATTTCAGCCATATTTAAAATCTCTAAACTCGAAATGATTAATGGCTCCCTCGAAACACCCTGAGGTAATGTAGGCTGTCCATCAAACTGTGCTGTAGCATAATACCTTGCTGATTAACAGTCTGCTATCGATCAGCAAAAATCTACACTTGCTTGGTTTCTATTATGTGTGACATGATTGGTAAAAGCACCATCTCTGGTGTTGAAACCTATGTGGATCTAAGATTTAGTTCTCTGTTCGAACAGAGTTTGCAATATTACCATTCGGCTTATAAGCCAAGGATGGGAAAATTCAACGAGTGTTCCAAATTTGGATATCTGCTGGATAGGATACTTTACCTGGTTAGAATCGTAGAATTTTACAGTACAGGAGGAGGTCATTCAAGCCATTGCCTCTGTACCGGCTCCCAAAAGAGCTACACAGCTAATCTTATTCTCCAGCTCTATCTCTGTTGCCCTCTAAATTCGTCTCTTTCAAATATGTATCTCTTTTGAAACCTCTGATGGAACCTGGCTCCACCACTCTCCCAGGCAGCACATTCCAAATTCTAACAACTCTGAGGAAGGAAGTTTCTCCTCGTCTCCTTCCTAGCTGTCTTGCTATCTGTCTTGAAATTGTGACCCTTACTTACTGACATACCAACTAGTGGAAATAGAATATCCTCCTTTATCCTGTCAAAATTGTTCATAGCTTTGCACACCTCAATAAGATTGCGTCTTAATCTTCTCTGTTCCAAGGAAAATAAACTCAATTTCTTTAATCTTTCCTTGTATCTAAAATGCTTCATTCCTGGTATAATTCCTAGTAAATCTCTCTTGCACTGTCTCCAGGGCTTTAACATTCTTCCTTAAATACAATGTCCAGAACACACTACTCCAAACATGGTCTCTGTCTGACAGTTTGTAGAGGTGCAGCAATACTTCTTTTATACTGTATGCCCCTATTTATAAATTCAAGGATCCTATAAGTAGTTTTAACTTCACTGGCCAGCTTCAGACAATTATGCACTTTGAAGTCTGAGGTCCCTCTACTCCTCCTGTACTCCCCTCAGAGTTGTATCATTGAGTCTCTCCATGTTTCTTCACCCAAAATGCATTACCTAATATTTCTTTGCATTGGAATTTGCCAGATTTTGGAGTACTGTGTACAGTTTTGGTTGCCCTGCTGTAGGAAAGATGTTATTGAATTGGAGAGGATGCAGAAACGATTTGCAAGGATATTACCAAGACTGGAGGGTTTGAGTTATAAAGAGAGAGTGGACAGGCTGGGATCTCTTTCACTGGAGCATAGGAGTTTGAGGGAGTGACCTTCTGTAGAGGTTTATCAAATCATATAAGGCTTAGATAAGGCAAATAGCAAAAGTCTTTTCCTTAGGATAGGGGACCTCAAAACTAGAGGGCATAATTTTAATGTGAGAGGAGAAGGATTTACATGGAACCTGAGGGGCAACTTTTTCACATGGGGTGGTTTGTATGTGGAATGAGGAATTGGTAGATGCAGGTCCAGTTACAACATTTAAAATGCATTTCGACAGGTACAGGAATAAGGAAGGGTTTAAGAGGGATGTGGGCCAAACACAGGCAAATGGGACTAGTTCAGTTTGGAAAACTTGGTTGGCATGAACAAGTTGGACCGAAGGATCTATTTCTGTGCTGTATGACTGTGACTCAATGTCAGCCTATTTGACCAACTTGTCAGTGTTCCTCTGAAGTCGCTCAGCGTCATCCTCACAATTCACTGTTCTCCCTGGCTTAGTGTCCTCTGCAAATTAGAGATTTTGCCCTCAATACCCATCTCCAAATCTTTTATATAAATTAGAAAAAGCAAGGGTCCCAACATCAATCTCTGGGGAGCACTACTTTCATCTCATAGCTCCAGTCTGAGAATGTACGTACATTCCGTTCCCTATCTTTTAGCCAACTTCTAATCCAAGCTGCAAAGGACCCATCAGACCCAAACGTTTCTAATTTGCTAACTAACCTGCCATGTGGCACCGTACCAATGCTTTCTGAAGGTCCAAATATACAACATCCCTTACCCGCTGCCGGTGTCACCTCATCAAAATTAAATTTGTCAGACACGACCTGCCTTTGAGAACGCCATGTTGATTATTTAGTATTAGCTTATTTTTCTCTGTGTATATTTATCTTATCCTGTATTATAGCCTCCATCAGATTTCCCTCTATTAATATCAAGCTGACAGGTCTGTAGTTTCCTGGGTGTGTAACCTTTGCTCCTTTCTTAAATAGTGTCACGTTTGCGATCTTCCAGTTCCCCAAACTAATCCTATCGTCAGAGTGGCCTGGAAAAATTCTGTTAATGACTATGCAGTTTGCTCCCTTACCTCTCGGCAATCTAGAATGCATCCCATTGCGGCCTGGTGACTTCTTTACCCGGGTTCTGCAGGCTTTTTAGCATCTTGTCTTTATCACTTCACTGCTTAGTTGCTCAACACCCAAGCTTTCAACTTGTTGATTAACCTTTTCATAATTGATGGACACATATGAAGAATGGTTATTAATGGAGAGTTACTGTGAGATTTGAGTGGTTTGTGGGGTGTTTAGGCTAGGGGAGGGAAAGATGTGAACTTATGCACCAGGATAATTTGGGAGGGGCAGGAACTAATTCCTCACGTTAGTCTGCATCGGAGTTCTCTAACCTTTTTGAGTGGAGGGTTTGTATTTTACTTTTTTCCCCCCTCAGTCACAGGGAAGATGATGCATTGACAGGTAATGGGGCAGTGATGATGATTACTGCTGGTGTGACGGGTTACATGGGTGTGTTGAGTGTTGACAGGCCCATAAGATGTGTGAGTGAGGGAGTTAGTGATACTGATTCTTTCCCCTCTCTGTCTCTCTCTTCCCTGGTTTGGGGGGGTGATAGCCACTTTCTGAACTGTTCCACTCCTGTTCATGCTCCTTGTCTTATCGCTAACTTGGTTCCAGCAGCACAGACCTGACTTCCTTGCTTGCTGAGCACATTTAACTATCTGTTATTGGAAACAGGTGGTGAGGAATACTTGGAGATTGATATTTGATGTTGGAACATTGATTTGAACTATTATAGAGACCTCCTGCTGGTCATAACTAAGTAGGGACTGAACTTTACACTAGTCCATCAGTCTTCCAATGTACGACTTTAATTGGCCTGTGCTGAATGAAGGAGTGTTGTGTTAAGTTTCTACTAACTGAAGAACTTTCACTATAGAGTTGTTTACTGGAATGGGTAATGCAGAAAAAGTGCTGGTCATTTATAAGTTGTTTTGAAACTTGTGCTCTATTCTTATCTAACTTGCTTTGAATTGATTTGCAGAGGAAATGGGAATCTTTGAATTACTGGACCCAGATGATGATCTCATAATCAACTTGCCAGCATCTCCATCTACATCTCCGGTACATTCACCAGGCTCTCATTACCCACATGGTGGTGACACAGGCAAGGTGAGGCCATTGTATTATCACATTTGTTTCTCCTTTACAAAATTTTTGTTCAATGTCTCTGTAAATCACTGGGTACAGAGGAGAAGACTACTTGGTACATTTTAGTTCATTCATGAAAACTCTGCCAGTAATATCCATCATTACTGAAAGATTTCCATGGTTTTGCTGTATTGTGTTCTGCCTGGAAGATCTTTTCTTACACCTTTTGAGAAAAGAATTGCATCTTGGTATCAATCTTAAATTAGTGTGTTAGTCTGACTCTGTCCCTTTTTGATACTGTCGTGGTATTAATAATATGAACTGTTTTCATGCATTGCATCTTTTGGGCATCTTTCAGTTGCTTCCCATTTCTGTTTTCCTCCCTTTTCTCAGTATTCCATGTTTGCTAGGGTTCCATAATGTGTTCTGACATTTAGTAATTGGTATAGAATGCCATCAGAACATGGCAACAGCTGCCAAACTCCAGTGTGATTAAATTGCTTCAGGCAAAGTTTCTGCTAACCAGAGACCTGTGGGCTCAAATATGTTAACAAGGAAGTGGTGGGCATCTGCCAAGAATTAAACTTTCACTCTCTTGCACAGGCCTTCTACTGCAAAGTTCATATACTGTCAAGTATTGATTCTTAAGAAAATTGATTTTTTGCACTATATTTAATACTCTTACGTGCTTCTTCCTTATGTATCATTTTTCATGAAAAAAAAGTGAAATTCTTACAGCTTATATCTCCAGTGCTTTTAACTACTTGTGCAGTTTTCATACTGTGGGATTTTTTGTTTTGTTTTCTTTTTGAAAGAAACATTGTGTGGAGAATGATGTTGTGACAGGTGTGAAAATATTGCAGTTACCTGTCAGCTATCTTTTTGCTTCCATTCTCGCCATCATTACATCACAATTCATAATGCTTTCAGGTGTGATGCATTAAATGGCTAGGAGAGAGGTTAAGTGGAGTAATGTCTGTAGAGAAATTCTGCAGAAGACAATGGCTAGTGCATAGTGTAACTGTAAAATTCTAAATTTGTGCCGGTTATGCTGATTTTTCTGGTAACATCTTACTCCTCCATTTGCTGCGCTGTCTGGTTGTAGTGTGCGATTTAAAAAAAAAAAAAATCGTTCAGCAGGTGTGGAGTTTGCTGGCTGGGCCCTTGAGAAGGTGATGGTGGTGGTGAGCCACCATTGGTGTAGGTGGGCCCACAGTGCTGTTAGGGGAGGGAGTTCTAACAAACTAGTACCATCTGCTGTGAATTATTAGAGCTAATTTGTTGCTTTTGCTTTTTCAGGGTCAGTGCACCGACCGACAAGAATCTCATGATGAAGTCACCATTTTGCAGCAGCCCCTGGCACTGGGATACTTTGTCTCGACAGCTAAGGCTGGGCCGCTTCCTGATTGGTTTTGGTCAGCCTGCCCTCAAGCACAGAACCAATGTCCACTTTTTCTCAAGGTAAACCAAGCCACTTATTGAATTTTTTTTCTGCAATCTTGGTGAGCTTCAAAATTATTCTGGATTTTGGAGTGAATTGCCATTAAACTTGTTGATAGTTTATGAATACATGATAAATGGTAGGATCCTGGGTAGTACAGAGGATCAGAGGAACCTTGGTGTGCATGGATCTTTGAAGGTAAGAGGACAGGTGGAGAGTGTGGTTAAGAACGCATATGGGATACTTACCTTTACTAGTCAAGTGCAAGATCTGTGAGGTTATGATGGAGCTGTAGCATGTTGGTTAGGCCACGGTTGGAGTAGTGTGTGCAGTTCTGGTCACAGTATTACAGGAAGGATGTGATTGCATTGCAGAGGGTGCAGAGAAAATTCATCAGGCAATTGCCTGGTTTAGAGTGTTTCAGTTCTGAAGAGAGACTACATAGGCTAGGGTTGTTTTCTGTGGAGCAGAGAAGGTTGAGGGAGGACCTGCTTAATGTGTACAGAATTACGAAGGGCATAGATAGGGTCGATAGAAATCAACTTTACCCCTCAGTTGAGGGGAAAGGAGCAGAAGGTTTAGAGGGTTTGTAAAGAGATTTTGTTTTCATCTAGAGGGTGATGTGTTTCTGGAAATTCCTGCCTGAAAGAAGTACAAGCCTTTGGAACATTTAGAAGTACTTAGATGGACACTTGAAATGCCATAGCATAGAAGGCTATGGGCAAGTGTTGGGAAATGGGATTTGGTAAATGTAGATAATCGCTTGATGACTAGCACGCACAGGATGAGCTGAAGGTTCATCCCTGTACTGTAATATTCTAACTCTGGTTGCTGCTTATTGTAGAAGAAACAGCTATTCTCCAATCTTGATTGATGCTCCTGGTTAATAAAATATGTATTTCAGCCCTTGTCACTAGATTACCAGGAGCATGTTTCTCTTAGAGTAAAGCTTCTGCTGTTAAGCAAATAGTGTTCCTCATAATTGTAATTAAGTCTCTTTACCCCAGCTTACATTTTGTGTTTATTCAATACTTTAGTGCAAAATCCAAGTTCACTGGGGTGAAGAATGGTGAGTGAGCAGAGATGCTTGGCTGGTACCATAAGTTATGTTAAAATCCTCCCAAATGGAAGGACCAGACAGTGATCTCTTATTTTGGAATGGACAGAGAACATGAGATTTTACCCACTGCTTCTGTACTCCCTCCTGAAGTTTCTTGAGGAGTGAAAACGATGGAAGTTGAACTCGGATGTTTTTCATTCAGGGATTTCAGCAAAGGAGAAACAATAAGGGGCTCTTGTGGTTCAGTGGTAGTGTCCCTGCCCCTGGACTGAGAGACCCAGCGTTCAAGTCCCACCAGCTCTAGAGGTATACAATGACATCTCTGAACAGGTTGATTAGAAAAATATTACATTTTTTAAAAAAAGGAGAAACAATATGCCTGTCCTGACTAATATATTCTTAAGGTAAAGGTTGATGGTGGGGGTATTAACCTCGAGTTGGAATCTTTTTAAGTTCATAAAGTATTCTGATTAAATTTCAAGTAACTAACTACAGGACAAATGTTGAAACCTAAAAGATTTTGTTGCATTTATTAGTGTGGTGACTTCAGGAATCGTAGGCTGTAATTTTGTGTGTAATGTGGTTGTGCTGTACTAGTGACGATTGCTACCATCTAGTGGCAAGTGTGACAGTAACATACTGAGCTGGACCATGTATAATTTACTTGAGTTTTAATTTCTTCTTGGTTTCTAGGCCTCGTTGCACCTCCACGTGCCTTCAGTGCATTCGGATGAGTTGCTTCATAGCAAGCACTCCCACCCACTTGATTCAAACCAGACCTCTGATGTGCTCAGGTATAAGATGCTGCATTATTCTGCAATTACGTTTGAAGTAATTTTGGAAGACTTAGTGTGCATTTAGTGTGTATTTCTCAATCTATAGAATTGTTGAGCACTTTCATCATTAGAATTCTCCCCCACCCCCAAAAGTTTGCCGTTTAAAGATTTTATCCTTTGTGAAGATAAAATAACCTGACCGTACAGTTGGAGATAACCCTTTCTCCTGTGGGTTGTGTAAGGAGGGAAGCATTTGGGAATCACACAAAAGTGCTTGAAGATAGTGAATGATGTGCAGTGAGTGGCACTGATTGGATGTTAAACCAAGATCCCCATTTATATTTGTACAAAGCACCTTTTGAAGACAAGCTGCAAGTTTTCAATAGCCTTTCGATCAATGTTATACCTCTATTCAGCACCCAGCAACATCTGGCCAGCCATTTATGCTATTGTAGTTCAAGAGGATGTTCGTACAGAATGGCTGGCACTTGTAAAACACTGTGCTTTAACTGTATGTTCAGAAACTGTTTTTAGAGGTAGCCTTGCAGATAATTTCTGTTTGAATTTGCTGCTTTGCACTTTTGCTTCATCAGATTAATAGGAATGCTGATTTATTATTATTTGTGATGTGTGGTGAAGTGCAGAGAAATTTTTACAATTCCTGTAGAGATAATCACAGTTTTTAAAAAGGAATTTAAGCTTCCAATTAATAGTTGAAAGATGACATAACAAGATCTCAAGATCTTTAACAAGCAAAGTAAGTGCAAAGAGTATTTAGTTAGTGTTGACAACTGTACTTCAAACTATTGAATGAAATTTTCCTCCTTTCCAATCCGGTCAAAAATTTGCACTTTGTAATTTGTGTGAACATCTGGCCCTAAGATAGTGACAGTGGGACCAGTGCACATTGATATTTAGCTTGCAAGGGTTTATATCTCTCTTTCTTGCCCAGTCTGGTAATTTTTAATCATAACCCTGTCTTTAATGGTGGTAAATTTTCCTGGAGATTCTCCCTTTCTCTCAAACGGCACGGTGGCTCAGTGATTAGCATGCTGCCTTACAGCACCAGGGAGCTGGGTTCGATTCTAACCTTGGGCGACTGTGTGCAGTTTGCACGTTCTCCCCATGTCTGCATATGTTTCTCTTGCGTGCTCCGGTTTCCTCCCATAGTCCAGAGATGTGCAGGTTAAGTAGATTGGCCATACTAAATTGCCTGTAGTGTTCAGAGATGTGTAGGTTAGGTGTATTACCAATGGGAAAATGCAGGAATAGGGTAGGGGGACGGATCTGGATGGGATGCTCTTCGGAGGGTCGGTGTGGACTTGTTGGGCCGAATAGCCTGTCCTCTCACTGGGGATTCTGTGAAGCAAGGTGACTTATTTCCAATCCACCTGTATTTGAGTAGGACCTTTCACCTGCATTATGCGTGGTGAGCTAAGAAGATTTTTGACTTACAACTGCTCTCTCTCTCTCTCGAATGTTGATGGACTGCCTGTGCCTTAGAAACACTTACCCTTCAAAACACATCTCCAACAATATGAGTCACAAGGACTTTTTATTCAGGTAGAAGTGCCTCTAGTTATTCTTGAGACCACAGCTGTCTCTATCTTGGAAGTAAATGGACAGTTTAAACCATAACAGTTTACTACCTGACACTTTCAACATTGTCCTGGATCTTTGGGGTTTAGCAGAGCGACTGGTGTAAAGGCAGATCCTTCTGCAACTTTCCAATGAACAGCCTAAGTCTCCCTTTAATCTTTAACAGCCATGGCTTCCAGGCCAGTTGTTACACAGGTGCACAGCAGGTCATATGACCCACTTCATTTTAGCATAAATTAATAGCCCGAAAACGCATCAAAAGTTTTGCTTTTGTAACAGCATAAAGAACTTGCACACGTAGAACTTGTACATGCTTATTTTTGATTTGACATTTTCTGTAAGTGTTTCTGTTTCAAATTGTGAACTTCCTTTGAACTCTAGGTTTGTTCTAGAACAATACAATGCTCTTTCTTGGCTGACCTGTGACCCTGCCACCCAGGACCGCCGCTCCTGCCTCCCTGTTCATTTTGTGGTGCTGACGCAGCTGTACAACTTCATCACAAGCATGTTGTAAACCTCGCAAGAGAACTGAGGGATTCAGGAATACTCGAAAAAGGGATATCGTTTGAGAGGGTCATCAAGAGCAGGAATTGGTAGGAAGAGAAGCATGCATTACTCATGGAGAACTGGAGGGATTCTTGGAATTGGGTCTGAATGACCCCAGGATGTCCCCCCCCCCCCCACCCCCATTAATTGCCTGGTGGGTTTTAAAGCCACAGGCAGTTTATCCAAAAATGCCTGCATCTTAATTTATTGTAAGTTTTTAAATGTTGTATAAATTGTCTTATATTTTGTATTTTTTTTAATTTTTCACGAAGGTCTATACTGCCTTCAGGCTTTAAAGCATTTGTTGTACTAAAATATCTATAATCGTCTTAAAAGTTTGCAGTAGGTTGCTATAAAGTCGGGGAGGGAGAGCAGCAAATATCTATTGGCTCAATGTACATTTTAGTAGGGGTGGGGTTAGTGTTAACCATACATTGTGTGTGGTAAAAATGCAGCGAAGCTGTGGATGCAGAGTACTTGTACAGTAAATATGTTCACTGTGTTTATATAACTGAAAAGTACATCTTATGGCATTTCTTATCATGCATTTGAAGCCAGCGCTAAAATGGGAAGGGTTGGGGAGGGGTGGGGGGTTGGAAATGGGACTGCAGAGGAGGGCTGCTCTGGTCAAGGTCAGTCCCAATGACCTGCCTATTTGTACATAAAAGAAGTCAGTAACTTTAATTTGTTACTACTGTATAAAAAAGAAAAATTGTGCAGAATGGTAACTAAATTTTGTAGCAGAATTTTTTTCCAAAATTGAATCAATGCAATGCAGGTGTGTTGGTCTGTTGTAGTGTTAAGGTTTCTAGGCCCAGACTCTTACCATTGTCCGAACTTAATGATGGCTTCAGTGAATGGACCACTTTACAGAACCAGGCACCACAATGCTGAGAAAGTCACAACAGTGTTCCTTCTCAGTTTTCTCACCCCTCTTGACTATTTTCTATTGTAATTTCATAATTACCACACCTGATGTCTTTTGCTATAAAACTCCATAGCTGTCTGACTTATTAAATGTTCTTTTCATTGCTCATTAATCTCTCTGTACAGTTATAGACCTCTATTAACATTGGAACATTGAAAATTGCTTCAGCACTCAATTGTGGGTAACTTGTATTAAGATACAGGTCTTTGAGGAAGAGTATTTTTTTTTTTTTTTTGAGAAGAGAAACTAGTAGATTCTGAAGGTTTGCTTATTAAATCTATCCTTGCATCATTTTATTTCCCCCCAGCCCGTCATGTTCCACTCTGAGCTTTACTGCACGGTGCCTTTTCTCTTAATGGCCTAGTATTTTCAAGTATGCCTGAAGTAAAATGTGTGTTTTGATAAAATGATTCTCAGGTTCTAACTAAATGGCATAAGTAGTTAGAAGCTAAAGGGTGCATTATTTTAGAAAGTGAAATTATACCCATCAGTTAAGAAACATTCATTTGCAATAGGATTTGGAAGAAATATCAATAGAGTTGAATCATGACATTTTATTATTAGTTCATATCCTCTTGTGGTGTTGCAGATTTTGCAGTAAACCTGTTCAGAGATAGTATTACACACCTCTGGAGCAGGTGGGACTTGAATCCAGGCTTCTAGGCTCAATGGAGACACTACCAAGCGGTACAAGAGACCCCACCCCATGCATCAACACCAGTTGTAGGATAGCAAAGACTAATTGGGCAAGGTCATGTAAATTCACTCCTGATTTTGAAGTCTCTCGGTCTGTATTTTCAAAATATTGCTATTATGAGTTTGTCTATCTACATGAAACTGTCTGTTAAACCATGCCGGGCTGTAATTATACCCTTTTGCCTGTGATGGTATAATTCTTCTACTTTGAGAGAGATTTGATTGCAGCCTGACAAATTTGCATAGACAGTTTCCCTTCTAAATATGAATGTAAGATCAAAGTTCCTAGGAAGTGTGTGCAGATGGATTTCTAGTATTGTCCTGTGTATGTGAGTATAACACCAGTATTATTGTGCAGTTATCATAACAAAAAGTACTAGAACTGCTAATAGTATTTAAGCCTTGACAAAAGTGAGACCGGACCAATTTTGAATTGAAAGTATCTTAAAAGAAATTCTTAAAATCTCCTAAATTTAGAAATTTCCAGCATCCATGAACCTTCATATTAGATCATCTCTTCAATGATGGTTCCTTGCAAAAATATGCACAAGTTTCATCTAAAAGAGGTCTTAATCAAATTTTCTATAATATAATAATTTTATAAGTACACTTGCAAATAAATAAAGTTTTCAGGGAGTGATGGGTGCCTCAGATCACTTGTCCAGTTGTTTTCAATTTGATAACTTCAGGAAATTTTGCCAAATTTCATTGAAACCTGTTCAAATTTGTTTTCTTGCATTTTTTTCAGAAGACAGGCTTGATGAGAGAACCTCTGTAATATCTGCAAATATTTTATTACAGCAGTAACTCCTTAAAACCCTGATCAGCTCTACTCTATAATGTTCACTCCTTTGGAAAAGATAAGTTGTGCAAGAACACTAAAGCAAGATCCAACACTGTAAGCCATATGTGTACTAACGTAAAGGCTTTAATACAAATGCTAAATTTAGAAGCGCCTTAATTGTTTAACTGTATATGTAATTGCTATTAATTTGCTGAAAATATTTTTAGGGAGGAAGTCGAAAGCTTTTTTCAAGTAACAGAAATTGCACTGAATCTTAAATACTATTTAAAACAACTCAAAATGGCTAATACTGTCATGAAAACATTTGGGCTGTTTCTTGAACCGAAGGCACTTTTGTTAAAACTGTTGAACACCTGACTCCCAGCCTTGAACAAGGTCTTGAGTCATCAGTTTCGTAAATTTTCCTACATCTTTTGCCTGATTTGTGAATTTTCTTGTTACTGGATGAAGTCCCTTGCAGGATCAAATTATTCACTTTTAAGTCTCTCCAAAGCCAGATGAAAGCATGAGTGAACCAGCTTGCATCATTTGTAAAAATTGTTTAGTCTATCAGCCCCTTGTGTTGGGGTGTGATTTGTAGGAAATTTGGAGCACACTTAGGTGTTTTCTTTTGCTATAAGAGGGAGATAATAAAGATGTTGGGGATACTAAAACTATAATTGGACATGTGCTGTATTTTTGCTCCCACTGAAGTCCCATCTACTGCATTATTCTTGATGCATTAAATTGAATACTTATGATTCAAATGACCTTTAAAATATGTGGCACACTGGTTAGTATTGCTGCCCCTCAGTTCCAGTCTTGGGTGTCTGTCTATGGGAGTTTTCACCGTTCCCCTGTGTCTGCGTGGGTTTTCTCCGGTTTCTTCCCACAGTCCAAAATGTGCAGGTTAGGTGGATTGGCTATGCTAAATTGCCTCGTAGTGTATGCAGGCTAGGTGAATTAGCCAAGGGAAATGTGGGGTAAAGGGGATATGGGTCTGGGTTGGGTGCTCTTTGGAGGGTCAGTGCAGACTAGATGGACCGAATAGCCTTTGTCTGCACTGTAGGGATTCTATGCCTCATGCTGTTGTGGAATTGTTATTTTTTGGCTGGGGGATGTCTAATACAACTCAGCCAATCTGAAAATTTGCAAGTTGAAAGGACACTGCACTGGCTGTGTTTCTTTTTAGTTTACTCGCTCATGGAATGTGGCTGGACCAGCATTTGTTGCCCATCCCTGATTTCCCTTCAGAAGGTGAGCTGCCTTTTTGAACCACTGCAGTCTATTTGGTGTAGATAGATCCACAATGCCATTAGGGAGGGAGTTCCATGTTTGTGGCCTGGCAACACTGCATGAATGGCAATATTCTTTCAAGTCAGAATGGTGAGTAGCTTGGAAGGCTACAGCTGGTGGTGTTCCCATGTATCTGGTGCTCTTGGCCTTCCAGATGGTGGTGGTTGAGAGTTTGAAAGGTGCTGTCTGTGGAACCTTGGTGAATTTTTGCAGTGCATCTTGTAGATAGTACACTACTGCTACTGAACGTTGCTTGTGAAGGAAGTGAATGCTTGTGGAAATAGCTCCAATATTGGGATAGCAGCTATAGACTTATCAGTGGTAATCTCATTTCTTAACTTTCCCTGTAGTTTATTTGTACTTTATCGAAATCCCTGTTAAATGCTGCAGGGTCATTGTCTTCCATATTGTTGAAATATAGAGCAGAATATACACTAGTACCATAAATGTATTTGTAACAGACAGTGTTTAGCTTTTTGTAAAACGTATACAGTGGTTACCTAGTTCATTTAATCTGGATATTTAAGCACAAAATTCCAGGATTTTTGAAAAACTGCAGTAGCTGCACATTTTATTTCTAAAAGTAATGTCAGAAAGCTATTAGCAGATTAAATAAAATTATTTGGTGGTCTTTCTTCCCCATCGTGCACCTGCCAACATATTTATTTTCAAGTTTTAAGTCCCCAGTCCATTAGTTGAGAAAGGGAAGTGGATGCACAGTTGTTGAAGAACTATTAAGAGGTGAGCGCTCTATGTACTTTCACTTGTCATGGGTTTCTTCACCTCAGGTATTATTAAGAATTGGGTGTCTGCTATTTCACATTCATGAAGATGACTTCTACAGTATGATACTTTGATACATCTATTGTAAACCCAGCGTCTGCAGTTTTGTTTAACCTCATTACTGATATCCTGTGATTAACACGTTTCCACTTATCCTATTAGTTTCAATGTTTGCTTTGTAGTTTCCCATGATATAATTTTTATTGTAAAACTTGCCTAATTTTAAAATTTAAATTGTTGTAGCGCAACAAAAAATTTGGCTTCTTTTGCTGTCAAATTTCACTTTCCCTAGTTGTATAATTACTTTTGGAGACCAGTGCTGGCAGCTGAATGGTGAAATTTATTTGCATTAATATTTACAGTAATTGCAATTACCACTTAATCTTCTTCTACACATTGCCACCTAAATAATCATTTATCTGTATTCATTCTTGACAGCTAACCCCTATGCATGACCTTGTGGTTAATAGTAGTTTTAAATAACTAGGTGATTATATAGAGGTCTTTTATTCATTCATGGGGTGTGGGTGTTACATACTGTTGAGGTCCTGCCTTGAATTGCTGCAATACTTGATGTGTAAGCATATCCACTGTGCTGTTGGGGAGGGAGTTTTAGTATTTTTAACTGGGATGGAATGACATTTAATTTCCAAGCCAAGATGGTGTTGGAGGGAAATTTGCAACTGTTACTGCTCCCATAGTTCTGTTGCCACGGTCCAAGTGGTAGAGGTCACAGGTTTGGAAGGTGCCGTTGAACTAGCCTTTGAGTTCTGTCAAAGTGCAGCTTTTCCACTGTTACCCACAATTTATTGCTAAAGGTAGCTTTTAAGTATAGGGGAAGAGTCATTTAATTGGACTGTCCTATAATATGAATGTTAATCAAAAATGCCTGAAAACTGATGCTTTTCCTGAGTTTCACAGCATTTGGTCTTCCTATCTGTAGCATGTTTTTTTTTGATTTCCTGGTCATGTTGATGCCAGGATCTGAAAGTGGTCCATTTCATGTGCAAACACTAGTAATCCCAGTACTTTAATAATGCATTGCTTAAACATTTTTGTCTTATTTAAATTTCATAATTTAATCTTTTGTCAAAATATTTATAGATTGAGCTGAAATTGCAGTAGATTTAAAAAACTCCTTAAATTTTATTAATTGTTGAATTTTACAGAGTTGATGCCTTGCTTATTTTTTAAAAAAAAAAGAAAAAATATTGGGAGAACATGCCATGTTTTGCTGAACAGTTGGTTGCCTGTAACAACTGGGCAAGCAGTGATGAGACCCCAGCTGTGGTGAGGATGGGTCCACTTCTTTCCCCCCCTCTTTACGTGTCCTACTTTGGTATAAAACATCCTGCTTGTAAAGCTGCAGTTGTGGTTCAAGAGTCTTTCAACAAATTATGAACAAATTTTAGTCTGGAGATCGTGGCAAACACTAAAAGCTACATACAGTCCAAAAAAAAAATTATGGTTGAATTGTTAAAAAGGTTTATACTTTTTAAACATTTCCAGATGAAAATAAATAATTTATTCATAATATTGGTGTGGCCCTGTTTTTATTTCTCTACTGCACATTAATGAACAACTGCAACATCATAATGTTGCTGTGACTTCTGGGACTATTATCTGACTGGAACTATACTGTGAATTGATCAGCTGAAAATCTTTAATTGAAAGAATAGCAGTCACGGCTCATTCAAGGATGTTAAACATTTAAAATGGAGCAGTAATTTCAATTGTAGAGATAGTTGTGAAATTATTCGTACAGTTCCTCCGGTGTATAGATTCTATTGTCCTTTATTTGAAAATTGTTATGTCTTAGTTGAACCTGGAGACCATAATGAGGATGCTTCCTGTGGACTCTACATTTGACACCTCTAATAACGCCAGTTTAAATTAAATATTTTTGAAATTTCAATACTAAAACATGCATTAAACCAGTTGATTTAGTTGCTGAATAAATCCCAAACTCCTGTTTCTGCCTTAAAACTGGCTGGGGGAGTCTGTGTGCAAATGTGAGAATCTTCACTTGGAATATTAAAATTGACCACAGTTAACTGGCACGTTTGAAACTTTATTAAATATTTTCTTACAAGTTTCACTTGACCTCTGCTTTAAGCAACAGTTATAAAGTTAAGACCATCTAAAAATACTATGCACAGCTTCACCATAGTTCTATTCACTCTCACTTGTGTATTTTCTTTATTTGTGCTTCAGATCAATAGCAGTCAAGATCAACTGCTTTCCTGTTAGCTTACACAACAGATTAAGAACAGCCAACAAAGTCTGTGATAGTGTCAGTTGACACTATGCAAGAATAAGCAAATAACATTGTACGTAGTGATAGCAACAGATGCATATGGCAGTGATCTATTAACATCAAGCTACAGAGAACAACAGAAATTGAAAACACAGCGTTAAGGCATGTAAAGACTAAAAATAGCAACACAAGGGAAAAAGGGAAGAACTCACATTAGGAATAGCATGAGTGGGGTGGGGTGGGGGGCAGGGTTGTAGCTAAGAGCCAATACACTACCAATTGCTACTGTGCCATAGAGTCCAATGGACTTTTCCTGAAAGGAGTGGCACATTGGTACCACAACTTTTGAATCCAGCCCAAATAACCTGTACCAATTTTAGGAGTTAAAAGTTAGAAGATGCAGAAAAGCAACTGCAAAATTCTGCAATAGGGGGATCTGGGTGTCCTTGCACATGAATCACAAAGGCAGCATACAGGAACAAGGGAAGCCATGATCTTATTGAGTAGCAGAGTCATCTTTAAAGGAAGAATGGCCTATTGTTGCTCCTATTTCTTCAATATATAAATTACACTGCTACCAAAATATGTCAAACCCCTGAGCTTCCTTCTGGTATGAAACAAATGCATATTATTATGAAAAGTTTAAAAACTTTACAGCTGGAAAATGATTACTTCCATGTCCTTTGAGTACTGTAGATAAAGATTAGCTTGAGGCAAATGAAAGAATTAATTGTCATTTCAGATTCACAGTTTAACTTTATGGTCATTGTATAAGCAGGGATTCTTTAAGAACTAGAATAATCTGCGGTTTGGTCAGAAAATTAGTCAACTATATAAAATTCTTTTGAAAATGTACATTGGTGTTTCCGTGGAGACACATCAAACCTGCTACCCTATGTGAAGTTAGTCACATTTTAATGTTACTGCAGTCTGTTTCAGTCACCAAGATGTGTACAAAGCATACCTCAATACATCGGATTCTGATCCAATGTTGTAGTTTCAACTGCCTCAAAACCAACTTGTCACCACAGTCTGGTGGTACCATGTGTGAGATGGTACAATGGCTTTTATATTTGACATGCATCTTTCTCAATTTTGTTGCTAAACTCCAACAACAGCTGTGTTTATTATCTCCAGAAATGTTGCTTCAACACGCTGGCATAGAAGCACATCCGGGTCCAAACACTCGGGTACAGTTGTCTCGCTCTTTTTAGTCTTTTCCAGACCTGCACTGCAGTTGCGGTCAGGAGGAGTTACTTCTGTCTTCTCCTTTAGATATTTGAGACCTGTGTAAAATGTGTCAAATTTTCCATAAAGTAAATAATAAAAGTGAACCTACTAAAATTCTCAGGAATGTATTGGTTAAGGAACAAGAAATACGCCAGTCAGCCTGCTTTGCCATTCAATAAGATCATGGTTAACTTTTCACCCCTTGGTAATCAAATCTACCTAGAGTTATAAAATCATATAGCACGGAAACAACCCTTTGGTCCAAATAGTCTAAACTGAACATAATTCCAAACTAAACTTAGTCCCACCTTCCTGCTCTTCCCTCCAAGCCTTTCCTATTCTTGTACTTATCCAAAGGTCTTTTAAATGTTGTAACTGTACCCACATCTACCACTTCCTCAAAGTTCATTCCACATGCGAACCACCCTGTGTAAAAGATGTGCCCTCTTGTCTTGAAATCTCCCATTTCCAAGGGAAAAGACAACTACCATTAACTCTATTGCTACCCCTTATGATTTTGTAAACTTCTTAGGGTCACCTTTCTACCTCCGACACTCTTGAAAAAGGTCTCAGCCTATCCAGCCTCTCTTTAATAACTCAAACTTCCAAACCCACCAACATCCTGGTAAATCTCTTTTGATTGCTCTCCTGCTTAATAATCTTGCTTTAACCAGAACTGGATCCAGTATTCCAGAAGAGGCCTCAACACTATTTCCCAACTCCTAATGAAGGCAAGCATGCCAAACACCTTTTAAACCACCCTGTCTATATGTGACGCAAATTTCAAAGAAATATGTACTGGAACCCCGAGGTTCCTCTGTTCTACAACACGACCCAAGGCCCCACCATTAATTGTATAAGCCTTACCCTTGTTTGTTGTATCAAAATGCAATACATCTCACTTATCCAGATTAAACTCCATCTGCCATTTTTCAGCACCTTGACCATTTGATCAAGATCCCTTTGTAATCTTAGAAAACCTCCTTCACTGCCTACGCCACCAATTTTGGTGCCGTTCGCAAACTTACTAACCATGCCGTATATATTCTCATCCATATCATTTATATAGATGATAAACAAAAGACCCAAAACTGATCCCTATGGAACATCACTGGTGACAGGCCTCCACTGTGAAAAGCAACCCTCCTTGTTGAAGGCTTCAGTAAAAGTCCAAGTAAACCATGTCTGCTGCTCTAACCTTGTCAATCTTTTTGGTAACTTGCTCAAAAACTCAAATCAAGTTTGTGAGACCCTATTTTCCTTGTTGAAAACCATGCCAACTCTCCCTAATAATTTCTGCCTCTCTAAATGTGCATAAATCCTATCCTAAAATCAATAACAATTTACCCACAACAGAAGTCAGATTCACAGATTTATAATTCCCGAGTTTCTCCTTACATACTAAGTTCCCTGAACATTAGCCTGTTTGCTAGGCTAGTGACATTACCACTACACCAGCACCTCCCCTTAATAAATATTTTCAGTGGCACAAGGGTCAATAACCTGAGGAGACAGATTTAAGAAGATTTACAATTGAACTGTGACACGAGAGAAATGTCTTTACACATTGAGTTTGAGAGACCTGGAATGCTCTGACCGAAAGCAGCAGATTTGGTATACCGTTCAAAAGATAATTCAATAGCTATTTGAAGGGACCGGAAAGACTTCAGTCTTAAAAATATTTAAGTATTCTGCATCCATTGCCTTTTGAGGAAGGGAATCACAAAGAGACTCAATCCTCAAAAAAAAATCTCATCTGTCTTAAATGGATGAGCCCTAGTTCTAGATTCTCCCATAAGAGGAAACATCCTTTCCTTATCCACTCAGTTAAGTCACCTCCAACAAACTTTAAAGGATACTACCCTATCTTTTCCTCTTAAGGCAATCTGTTCATTCCATGTATTAGTCAGTAAACCTTCTGTGAACTGCTTCAAAAGCATTAACATCATTCTGTAAGTATGGTGACTAGTACTGTACATGGTATTCCAGATGCAGTCTTACCAGTGCCCTATATAACTGAAGTATAACCTCCCTACTCTTGCTTTCCACTCCCCCTGCAGTAAACCATAACATTCTATTAGTTTTCCTGATTACTTGCTTGAACCTGCATATTAACCTTGCACTAGGACAGTCAGATCTCTCTGCATTCCTCTCATCAGTTATGTGATATGCTTTGTTTTTATTCTTTCTGCCAAAATGGACAATTTCCCACATTATACTCTAATTGCCAGACTTTGGCCATTCATTTAACCTATCTATATACCTTTGTAAGATAATATCCTCTTCAAAACTTATTTTCCTACCTATCTTTGTGCCATCATTGTGTCCAGATTACAATGCCATTGGTCAAAACCAATTAATGAAGTTACATATGGTTTTGGAGTAGATTTGTAGCTCGGATTGTGGGTGTTGTGGTTGGTTGGTTGGCTCGCCGAGCTGGTTTGTTGTTCCACAGAAGTTTCATTACTTTGCTGGGTAGCATCATCAGTGCAGCCTCCGCTTCATTGGACGCTGCACTGATGATGTTACCCAGTAGGGTAATGAAACATCTGCGGATCCACAAACCAGCTCAGTGAGCCAACCAACCACAGTGAAGTTACACATTTCAAGAAAGCATCTCAGTTACATTATACTACAATGTACTGAACCAAGGCTGAATGAAGGGTTCACTGGTTTGCATAAAGCTGGAGGTAGGCTTGCTCACTAGATAGCTACATACCCTCGTTTCAAGGTTTAAAGCACGTCCCTCCAGTATGTCATGTGTGTTATTAAGGAAGGTTCTATCCTAGCCTGACATGAGTCATTAACCAGAAATGCAACATGAATTTACTGATTTTTGTTTCCAGTTCCAAACCTAAAGATGCTGCTCTCAACTAACTATACTGAACAAGGGCTGGTCATTTGGCCAATAATAGATGCAATTGTGTGGGGTAGCAGGTGCATATAAACTTTTTTTACTCAAATCTAGAGTCAATAAACATTATTTTTAATCAATTAACTCTCAAATACTTACGTTTAATGATGGGGTCAATATCCTGTGCCTGAGT